CCGGCGAGCCCCTGCAGAGCCCTCTCAGGTGAGCGATGCTTGACCAGAGAGGGGGCGCCCCGCACACCCCAACCCCTGCCCACCGGGCTGCCACACACCCAGAGCCCCCCAGGACTGCTCCAGGACCCCCTCAGCGGCGGGGGTCTCGCAGCGGCCATACCCAACGCCTGGGGTTGGGCTGCACCAGGACCGTGTCCCCATCGTGTCTGTGTGTCCTGCGCGTTACTGCGGCAGCGTCGGGTGCTGGGGGGGGGCCCTGGGGTCCCACGCGGGCTCTGGGCACAGAGGGGGGCAGGGCTGGGGGTCCCTGGACGCTGCCGGGGGAGGGAGGCGGCGGCCGCGGTGAGGGATCCGCGGGGGGCGGGCGGGGGGGGTGTCTGACCAGGGTCGGGGATAATCGCCAGTGAGGGGTGACTGTGGCGGGGATCACCGAAGGGGAGGCAGAGCTGGGGCTGTAGCCAACGCCCGTCACCCGGGGCGCCCGCGCCGCCTGCCCGGCCTCACTCCCCGCTGCCGGACCGAGACCGGGACCAGCCTCCATCCCCAGAACCGCTGCCCGGCGAGACCCCGCGCCGGCTATGGGCGGGGCCTAGATCTGCGGGCGATGGTTGGACACTGGGCGGAGGAGGCGGGAACACGGGCAGGAGCCAGCGCTGATTGGACGCTGGGCGGAGGAGGCGGGAACACGGGCAGAAGCCGGGCGCTGATTGGGCGCTACGCGGAGGAGGCGGGAGCGACGCGCGGGCGGCAGAGATGGCGGGTGAGGCGCTGTCGCGGGTGCCGGAGGTGCAGATCGATGGCGATGGTGTCTTCAAGTACGTGCTGGTGCGGGTGAGCGGGGCCGGCGCGCCCGCCAAGGACGTCGTGAGAGGTCACGGCTGGGCCGAGTACCACGGTGAGGGGCGTCGGGAGTGCGGGACGGGGCTGTGGCCTGGGGTGCCGAGGGAAGCGGCCGCGGGTCCCGGGGGCGGGCGGGGGCTTGCCGGGGGTCTGTCCCGTCAGGCGCGGTGGCTGAGGCGGGGCGTCCCCGCGCTCCCCCCCGCTCCCTCCCTGCAGCCGACTTGTTCGAGCGCACCGCGGAGGAGCTGGCGCGGCACGGCCTGAGCTGCGAGTGCCTGGGCGGCGGCCGGCTCTCCCACCGGCCCGAAGAGAGGAAGATCCACGTCTACGGGTACTCGGTGGTAAGCGGAAGCCGGGGAGACCCACACAGGGACGCGGCATCTCCCTTCGCAATGTGGGTCCCACTGACGGCGGCCGAGTTGGCACCGCATCCCCTCGGGGGTGGAAGGGGTGAGCGGGGCGGCGCTCCCGGGGCTCCTGGGAGTTCTCTCGAGTGCCCCAGGGAGGGGAGACTTCGCAGAGCCCTTTCGGGTGCTTGGCCAGAGTGGAGTCGCCCTATGAACCCCCCAGCACCTGCCTGTGGTGCTGCCGCACACCCTGGGCCCCCGGGGTTCCGGCAGTGGCTGTACCTAGCGCTAGGTGCTGCCAGGAGAATTGGGCTGTACAAGAACCATGTCCCCACTTTGTGTGTCCTGAGGGCGTTCCTGCAGGAGTGTCAGGTGCTGTAGGGGCCATGTAAGGGTGACTGGAGACACCCTCGGGGACATCATTGATATGGTGGGTCCCTGGATGCTGACCCCAGCCCAGAGCTGTGCTGGGTGCTGAGTGCAGAGCCCAGCTGGGACCAGGGCAGGGTGGTGGTCCCCGGGCCACAGTGTACACAGTTTTCTCAGCTTCAGCACTGTCCTCTTGCCTGGGTGCTACGCCAGCTAGAGTCAGGCAGGGTTGGCACAGGCTGTGCAGCCTCTCTGATGCTGGGATGTGCCAGAGCTGCCCTGGGGATTTGCCGGGCTTCCCTGCAAGTGGTCACCTACCAGCTCTCCTTGGGAACCCTCTTTCTTATGCAGGGCTTTGGACGAGCTGACCACGCTGTGACCACAGAGAAGCTGAAGGCCGAGTATCCCGACTATGAGATCACCTGGGCGGATGAAGGGTACTGACTCCTCTGTGTGTGCTGCCAGCCCAGAGCTGGCACAGTTGTACACAGCGCCAGGGTGGTGGCAGCAGGTTCCCCATGCTCAGCGGTGCTCCAGACTCTTCTGATTTTCCTCTGTGTTGAACTGACCCGTTCTCCGCCATCACCAGACTGTTCCCATGTGGGGAGCTCCCAACTCCCTGGCATGGCAGAGCTGGTGAAGCCAGTGGTTGCTCTGCCCCGGCCTCCTGGCGCCACATGTATCTGTGAGAATTAAAGTCATTGGGGCACAGCTGCTCTGGTGGCCATGCTCATAACTCGGCTGTTCCTTCGCAGCTCTGGCTTGTGCCTGTTGACAGTGGAAGGGACCCTCCCAGGTTTTCCACCCCTTGAGCAGGGTCTGGCATGGGAGCCTGGCATGGGAGCAGGCAGAGTCTGGGGTGGGAACAGCAGGAGGTGGATCGGAATTTGCCTTGGAAAGGGCTGAGGCAGGAGAGAGGAAAGCAATGCCCAGGCCCGGGGGAGGGAAAGGCAGGATAGACCTTGGGAAGAGATGAGCCCCATCTCCTGAGCCGCCTGGGAACATGGTTGGGAAGAACATGCCCATTCCCACTCTAACAGGTAGTCACATCATGAGGAAGAGCATCCTCCCTGACTTCATCCCTCTGGCCACCCAGGACCAGCTCCTGTCCCTCAGAATTTCCCAGGGATTCTCCCTGCTGTGTTTCCAGTGAGGAGCGGTAGGGGGAGACTGGGAAAAGCTGCTGGAGGCTTCAGTGGCTGGAGAGATCAGGGAGATGAGCAGGCTGGTTGGTTCAGTCACTGTCCCACGTGAGGCTGGGGCTGGGGGAACCTCCCAGCCCCATTTCGTTGTCAGACTCTGCTCTGCCTGCTCCTATCTCCTGCCTGGCCGTAATCCTGCTGCTGCCTGCACCTCGTACCTTGAGGGATGTGGGCTCCTTCCTCTGTGTCGAGAGCCATGCAGGGTCAGCTCATCCTGCAGAAGCTCAGCCTATGCCCTGTGTCCAAAGCTCAGCCTATGCCCAAACTCCAAAGGAAGCTCACAATGGGGGAGATGAGTTTCACAGGCAAAAACACTGGCGTGCTGTGTCTTGTCCTCCATCCTGCAAGGTGAGACCCTCCCCTGTGCTGGGGGAAATGTTACCCAGAAGTCACATGGAGTCAGCTGCAAACCTGCAAGTCACTGGATCATGGAGCTTGGAGGCACATCTGGGATGTCCTGTCCATCCACTGGCCTAGCAGAGCCAGCTCCAGTGGGTCCATCATGATGGGATTGCTGGGATGTGCCTTGCAGGCTCAGGAGTTGGACTCGGTAGTCCTTGTGGGTCGCTTTGAACACAGGGAATTCCATGATTCTGTTTTAGAATTAGGCTGCTGGGAGCTATGACCAGGTGGGATTTGGGATTCTCTCCGACTTGAACCTCCCAGCATCTTGGGAACCTGCTCTGGTTTTGACAGCCCTCAAAGGAAAAAAAGATTTTTCTTTAAGTGGCATTTGCTGTTCTTGCAAATGTTCTTGTTGCCTCAGTCCTTTCTGGGACACTTCCCGCTCAAGGGGTTGGCTCCCAGCAGCCTTCTTCCAGGGCTTACTTGGGTGACATCCCCCTATAACTTCTCCAAGCTGGGCATGTCCAGCTCAGCCTCTCTTTGTGGGAAGTCCAGTCCCGTCATCATCATCAGGGAATCTCCTGTGGGGATACTCACAGGATGATGTGGACACATCTTCCAGGGAACCCTTGTGGAGCAGAGGGGTGAGATGGAGTGACCTTCCATTGCGCCTTCCATTCTGTACAATCCTGTGGTCATCATCACTGCCCCTGGCTCAATCTGTTCCAGTATGCCCACATCTCACACTGGGAGCACAAACATCCCCAGTGCAAAGGGGAGGGGTCAGATCTGTGAGAGAGGTTCTGTCCATGGCACCCAGGAGGTCAGTGGCTACTTTGCCAGTGGCCATGGCACAGGCCTGTGGCCAGCTTGGTGCTGCCAGGTTCCTAGGCAAGGCTCCTGCTCTCCAGCATGCCTGGGCTGGGGGATGTGGGGCTGCTGGTCCCCACTGGGCCTGGCTGGCACTGGGAGAAGGAGCTGAGCCTGCGTTTTACTGCCTCTGATGCAATCTCTCTGCAATCTGCCTTCCAAGGCCATCAGCTCAATGGCTCAATGGGAGGATCTGCTCAACGGGGCCCCTCTCTGGGCACGGAGGCTGTGGCAGCAGAGGTGAGAGGGATCCTGTGATGTAGCAGCCCCTGCTTCCCCTGCCCAGGTGGGGAAACCAGTGAGGTCAGTAGTTGCCATTGCCAGGCAACTGGTAGTGATCTATGGGGGCTCTCTCTGCCAAGCTGTGCTTCTTCCAGGCTCATCAGCCCTTGCTTGGGCTCTGCCAGGAATGACCTGATTGTAGCCGTGGAGCTGTGCCCCTTCGCCCCGTGGCAGTCATGAGTTGGGTGCTGGAGCGGAGCAGGCAGGGTGAAGGCTGGCTCCTCCCGATGGCATCTTGGCATCCCCAGGCTCCAGGGGGACCTTAGAGCCCCTTCCAGTGCCTAAAGGGGCGCTGGGAGAGCTAGAGAGGGACTTTGGACAAGAGCTTGGAGTGACAAGACAAGAGGGAGTGGCTCCCACTGCCAGAGGGCAGGGTGAGATGGAATATTGGAGATATTGCTGACTCCCAGCTCAGCTGTTCTCTTTGGTCAGAGTGCAGCCCACTGCCAACTCTGCTCCCAAAGTCTCTCCCACTCTCCTTGTGCACAGGGACTGGCAGAGTCCCCATGTCCCTGGCAGAGGTGCCAGCTTTCCCCACAAGGCTGTCAGCATCCCTGGCTCAGCAGCAAGTGTCTTCATCCTTCACCAAGCCGGCGCATTCCACTGAGCTGTGCTCCGTGCCACCCACCGTCTTGTTCTGAGTGGAAAACGGGCTGAAGAGGAGAGGCTCAGTGGGGAAACGCCGAAGGTCTCCCTGGGGCACCTGGCTCCAGCTCGCTGCTGTGGTGCCGGCAGTGCTGCTGATAGGATCGCGCTGCACTGTCCCAGCCATAAACCCGCTGCCCGGCCAGGGGGCCGATAACAGCGGGGCTGAAGTCCAACGCAGGCAGGTCCTGGGGAGCACATTCCAACCCGGGGCTCACGCTGTGGCCTCTCCCAGCTCCATTTTACCGTCGCGGTGGCCGGGATGGCTGCAGGCGGGCAGGCGATGCTGGTCCTCCTGGTGCTGCTGGGTGAGCTCTGCCGACATGGGCGGGGGTTGTGTCGCAGGAGGGAAGGGGCCTCCGTGCTGGCTGTTCCATTCTAGTCCTCCCCGGCAGTTTGCCCCAGCACTGGGGGCCGGGGCAGGTATAGCCCAGCCCGCTTGGCTCTGCTGGTGAAGTCAACCCGGGGTTCCCAGGATGAGAGGGTTCCGGAGCCCCCAGCACCGGGCTGGAGATCACCAATGGCTTTGTTCAGTGTGGGACAGAAAACGCCCAGATTTTCCTGTTTCTTCCAAAAAGGGGGCTGGGACTCGAAGCACGGGTGCGATAGAGCAGAGTTAGTGTCCCGGCAAGCTGTGGCACCCGAGGCTGACGGTGGGAGGTGGTAGTGTGAGAGATGTGGAGTGCCGGGATAGTGACGGGGCGGGAGGGAGGTCGTCCAGGGGCAGACACCACTGAGAGCTCAGCACCTGCCCCAGCAGGCTCCCAAACCGAGGTGCCCAGTCAAATGTCACTTGCAGGTCACGGGTGCCCTCCGTCACCTGCTGCGGGCATCATGCCTGGTTCCCTGCGGGGTTTTCAGCCCCATTGTCTCTCCCATAGTCAGAACCGTCCTCCCCAGCGGGTCCGTGGTCGTCAACAGCTGCAGCAGCGCGGCTGAGAAGCTCTGCAACTTCATCTGTGACTGCAGCGACTGCTCGGATGAGAACCAGTGCGGTGGGTGCCCAGACTCCTCAGGCCCCCAGACCCACCCTCAGGCCCTGCTCCTGGAGTGCGAGCAGGCTGTGTGGGGGTGGGGTGTTGTGGGTGCAGGTCCCTGGGGTGGTGCTGGTGCCCAGGGTGGATGCAAGATCCCTCAGGATGGATACAGGCTCCCAGGGTGGCTGCAGATCCACGGGGTAGGGAGAAGTCCTTTGTGCGGGTGTCCAGGGTGAATACAGGTCGCCTGGGTGCAGGTGAGTCTGCCAGGTGGGTGCAGGATCCCAGACTCTGTGCAGGTCCCCTGGGCTGGCCACAGGTCCCCTGGGTGGCCCCAAACCTGCCTTGACGCCACGTCTGCCCACCCTCAGGGTACCTACGGGGCTCAGCAGTGCTGGGCACCCCCTTCACCTGTGACTTCGAGGACAGTGACTGTGGCTGGCAGGACGTGGGCACCTCGACGTATGGATGGGTGCGAGGCCGGGCCAGCCTGGCCACATGGGGCGTGGGGCCTCATTCAGACCACACCATGGGTACTGACCTGGGTAAGTGGGAGGGCACCACTCCACTGGGCTATGGGTGCCCCAGAGTCGGGATGCCAGAACACCCATCTTTGTAGGGTGCAGGGGACGGAGCAGACCCATGGAGGTGCAGGAGTAGTGCTGGCACAGCTCTGGTGCCACACCATGAGGCTGCATCCCTTGCTCTTCTTTCTCCCTTCCCAGGTTGGTTCTTGGCAACCACATCCCCCCCAGCAAAGACCACGGCCACGGCCTGGCTCAGGTCACCTGAGATGCGGGAAGCAGCTGCCACATGTGAGATCAGAACCTGGTATCACCTCTCAGGGAGCTGTGAGAGCACCCAAGGTGGGCACAGGCAGCATCAGCTACTGGGCAGTGAGGATGGGAGGAAGTGGGGAAGGATGGGGCCACCTGCCCCTATGGTAGGGACAGAGCCACCAGCACCTTGCCATCCTCTTTGCCTCTTCCACGCTCCACACACAGAGCTGGCGGGACCTGGGGTCCCAGCTCCAGCCCCCAGAGCTGGCAGGGCTCCATTCATTCCTTTGGGTACCCCAGGATGTCCTGTACCAAGGGCACTTTGGGGCTTCCCTCAGGACTGAACCAGACAGAGCAGCCAGTGCTGCGCCTGGCTGTGGCACTCAAGGACGAGGTGGTGGGGCTGTGGCAGAGCCCCGAGCGCAGCAGTGAGGGCTGGCACCAGCTGGTTGCCTACCCTGGCCGGATCACGGAACAGTTCCAGGTGAGACAGTGTTACTGTAGTCAGGTACTGTCCCCATAAGCTGGGACCAGAGAAGCTGGGTGATGTTCTGAGACCCGGCCTGGGCAGCTCATGCCACCCCCATCCTCCCATCACAGCTCATCTTCTCCCTTACACAACCACCCACCTGCGGGGCAGAGGTGGCACTCGATGACATCATGTTCAGGAACTGTGGTTTATCAGGTGAGTCCCACATCTGCTGGGATGTGAGCTGGGATCTTGGGGGAACTGGGTGGGGTACAAAACCCAAGAGAGCTGTCACATTGCTCGCTGTGTCCTAGGCCACCATGCCCTTGCCAGAGCACGAGGTGGGCAGTGAAAACTTGTCTGTTGAGCCACCCCAGGGAACAATGTGGGAGTGCTCACTGTGAGTGCTCACAGTGGGACCAGCCACTCGCTGATCTGTGTCCCCCTGCCCCAGAGGTCGAGCAGCAGGTCTGTGAGGCCCAGGAGAGCCGCTGCCACCGCGGCTCCTGCCTGGCACATCATCGTTTCTGTGACGGCACTGACGACTGCGGGGACAGCTCGGATGAGGATGTGGCACAGTGCGGTGAGCCCCCCTGGCCCTGGGGAGGGATCTGCGGGTGGGCTGAGGATCTGCCTTGGTGGGGCAAAGCTGTGCTATGAGCTGGCAGGGGTGTCCCCAGTTCTGCCCCATGCTGGGAGGGCAAAATGACCCTGAGGGTTTGCAGAGGGGTGGCATCAGCCCAGCCCATTGCAGGGACCTACCTGTCCGAGAGAGGGCTGTGACCCCAGTCTCTGGGTCACTGCTGTCCCTTCTCCTCACAGAGAACGTCACCCGCTGCTCCTTTGACCACGATCTCTGTGGCTGGGAGGAGGTGGCCGGGCAACCGGTGTGGGGCAGGAACACGAGCCTGAACCTGGGCACCTCCTACGGCATTCCCACTCGGGACCACAGCAACAACAGCAGGGCTGGTATGTGGCGAAGCATCAGTACCCCAGCAGAGCCCCACTGCAGGTGGACGTGCCCTGGGGTGACACACCCCTGGGCTCTACTCAAGGCTGTGCCAGGACAGTGGTGTCCTGCACCCACACATCTGCCTGGCTTCACTCAGCCCCAGCATCTCCTGCAGGTTTTTTCCTCCACTTGGGCAGTGGCCGGACTGCACAGGCTGGTGGCACAGCTCAACTCAGCAGCCCCACCTTCCAAGCCACCAACTCTTGTTCTGTGAGTCACAGCTGGGACCTCATGTCACAGCTCATGTGGGCATGGTGACAGGAGATGGGGTTCCCAGTTCTGGGGACCCTCATGTGGGCCTGAGGCTGTGATTGACCCTTGCTGGGGATGGGAGTCAGGTTTTTGGGGGTGGTTTGGTGACATCTCTGGTGCCCACTGCGAGCTCTGAGCTCCTCACAGCCCCTCTGTGGGATGCAGGGGGCTGTGTGCCCCTGCCCTGAGGACTAATCCTCCTCCCCAACCCCAGCTCGTGTTGTACTGCCACCTCCATGGCTCAGCCACCAGCAAACTCAGCATCTTCTATGTGACCAACTTTACTAAGCACCTAATGAGAGAGAGGACGGGAGACCTGGGCAGCTGCTGGGTCCGGGAGAGAGTGAACTTCAACTCGACGGATCCCTTTAAGGTGGGCTGGTGCTGTGCTGGGGGAGCCCCCGTGGTCAGGGACCACAGCTGTGTACAGGGGCAGCACCACCCCCCATGCCCACCGTGGCCATGACAGCCCATGCTGTGCACCCCTGCCAGTCACAGCATTGCCCCTCCTCGCATTGAGTCCCTTCCTGGGGAGAATGTGTGTCAGTCTATGACAGGTTCTGGCTCCCCTCATCCCATGGCACCCTGGTGTCACCCTAATCCTCCCCATATTGTGCAGGACCCCTTACTGATGTTGCTGATATGGTGCTTTCCTGCAGGTGCTGATTGAGGGAGTGGCTGGCAGTGGAGGGACTGTGGCCATCGATGACCTGATCCTGTCTCAGGGCTGTGTGAAGGAGCAGGGTGAGCTGGTGGGCAGTGTCCCTCACCCTGCTTCAGTGTGGGCAGCTGCCCCAGGTGTTTTGCGCCCATGGCACCGTGTAAAGGACCCTGACATGGTCTGCTTGTCCTGCTCATCACAGGGATCATCCTGGGTGCAGCACAGCAAACACTTGCCCTGGGGTGCTGGTGTCTTTGTCCTGTGGCTGTGACACTCCATCCTCTGTGTCAAAATGTGTCACATAAGCAGCTCTTACTAGGCCCTGGGTCCCTTCAGGTGGTGGCAACTAGGCTGGGCTGGGACGGGACGGGATGGGATGGGATGGGATGGGGGAAATGGAGAGTCAGGGAGATGCCTGGGGACAGGGGGCAGTGGTTTGAAGGACTGACACTGATGCTGTTGCTGGGCCCTTCACCATTGCTCTCCATCCTGGGGTGTTTCACCATCAGAGGAGCCGGTGGTCATGCTGCCGAGCCAGGCAGGTGCCAGCCCCTGCACAGCAGACGAGATGGCCTGTGACAGTGGGGACTGCATTGCTGCAGAGCTGGCCTGCGACTTCGCTGACACGTGTGCTGATGGCTCTGACGAGAAGCGCTGTGGTGAGAGCCAAGGCAGGCACCTGCACCAGTACCCCAGCAGTGGAGGGGACCAGGCACCCCCAGGCTGGCATGGCTGGGGCACGTGACTGCCTGCACAGCCCCTGGGATAACAATGGCTAGCAAGACTGTGCCTGGAGTTTTGGGTTTCCCAGATAAACTGTGGCTGTCCCTGGATCCCTGGAAGTGTCCAAGGCTGGTTGGATAGAGCTTGGAGCACTCTGGGACAGTGGGAGGTGTCCCTGCCTATGGCGGAAGGGTGAAATGAGATGAGCTTTAAGGTCCTTCTAACCCAAACCAGTCTGGGATCCTGGGATTCTTTAACTTTGCAGGGACAACAACCTTTGAGTCGGGGGCTGCAGGCTGGCACGATGTCAGTGTGGGGCGGCTGCGCTGGGGTCTGGAGAAGGTCACTGAATCTGACAGCTTCCTCACAGGTAAGGCTATTCTCACCACCCAGACAATGCTCTTCAGTGCTCAGCACCACAGGAGCCCCCAGAGCAGGGACCCCTAGTGGGTGCCACTGCACAATGGGGGATGATGCCCAGGCATGATGCTGGGCTGGGGGTGCTACCAGAGACGTGGGACCCCAGTCCTCACCTCACAGAGTGTTTCTGTGCCCAGGGACTTTCCTGGCCCTCCAGACAGGAGAAGGACAAATGGTGGGTCCTGCGAAGGCACGAACACCTCCACTGGGCCCCTCTGGCCCTGCCTGCACCATGGAGATGAGCTACCACATCCACAGTGACACTCAAGGTAACCTCCTGCTCATCCCCAGGGTGCCCTGTCTGCTTCCTGTCCCTAACCCCCCCATGTCTACCTTCCTTTGCTGCCTCTCCCAACCCTGCTTTGCCCCATCACATCATCTTGGAGCTGGGGTGTCTGTGTCCCTGCACCCTGTGACCAAGGGCTGGTGCCATGGAGGGCTCCCACAGGGTGGCCAGGGATTTTGGGTGCCCACAGCCTCTGCACCACCTCTTGTTCCAGGCTTCCTTGCCATCAGTGTCACAGATCACACGACTGGCACCACCCAGCTGGCCTGGCAGACGCAAGGTCGTGGCAACACAACTAGGGGTCGTGTCCATGTCCCACTGGGAGAAAGAAGCCGTCCCTTCCAGGTGTGCTGGATGCAGAGGGACCAGCCTGGGGGAGCTTTCAGTGGGACACTACCAGTGCTGACGGGCACTCTGGGCTCATGGCTGCTGCCTCCAGGTTGAGCTGCTGGCACTGGTGGATCTCCAGGGCTTGGAGAGTGTTGGTGTTGACAATGTGACATTCGAGCAGTGCTACCTCGACGTGGTGTTACCCACAGCTGCGGGTATGGCCAGGGGTGCGGGCAGGGAGGGTAACCCCAGACCTTTTCCATGGAGGCTGCCTGGTAGCTGTCACTCTGTCCAAGAGCAGGAACATGGTGCATCCTGCCTTGGCCTGGGACCCCTGCATGGGGTAAAACCTGGGGAGTGGGACAGCAGTAAAGGGACATTTGGGGCTTTTGTGATGCCTTATCTCTTTCCACCTCCACACTGTCTCCTCTCTCTGGCCAGAGCTGTCCTGCAACTTTGAGACGGGCATGTGTGGCTGGTACCAGGATCTGTCCAGTGACTTCAAATGGGTCCACAGCACAGGGCAGGGACAGGGTTCTGACCACACCACTGGCTCGGGTAAGGGACTGGTTGCTCTTTGGGAGAACTCAGGATCCCAGGGCATCCCACAGCCTTCAATCCCCAGGGTCAAGATATGCCCTATGCACACCCAGGAGCCCCATGCCTACAGAGCAAGCTTACCTAGGGCAACCTAGGAGCACCCAGATCTGGGCTGTGGGTGATAACTAAACACTCATATCATGACCCCTCCACCCTGGCTGCCCCCAACATTCAGGCTACTTCTTGTCTGTGGACCCCTCTGTGCCATGGAGCCATGGGCAGCGGGCCCAGCTCCTCACCTCCTGCCAGGAACCGGCCACTGCCCCACGCTGTCTCTCCTTCTGGTACCGCCTGGCCGGCCCACAAATTGGTATGTGCCCCATGGCATTCTCCGAGGCTGCCCAAGCCTGGCTCCACTCTGAGGACAGTGGGATCCCCAAGGGCTGCGGGATGGCTGCCCCCATGCCCCCCTCTGCCCAGGTACCCTGAACCTCAAGCTATGGCTGGAGGGAGGGGAGGAGGTGGTGCTGTGGACCCACCGAGGAACCCAGGGCAGCATCTGGCACCGGTCGTGGGCAACACTGCCCACCACGGGCCAGCAGCGGTACCAGGTGAGGACCAGGCCCCCCATGTCCCTGGCACCAGCAAGGCACAGGGTGTCTGACACTGCTGCCTGGGAGCAGGTGGCTTTCGAGGTGCTGCATGATGGTTTCCTGGGGGATGTGGGGCTGGACGACATCACGGTGACAGCGGGACCCTGTGGGGCCGAGCTCTCCTGCACCTTCGAGGTGGAGAGCTGTGGGCTGGCAGCCAGTGGAAAGGGCACCTGGCAGCGACAGAGCAATGGCACCGGCACCACTGCAGGCCCTGTGGCTGACCACACCACCGGCACTGCCACAGGTACAGGACTATGGCAGCTCTCTTGCTTCCCTGCTGCACTGAGTGTCCCCCCTCCCTACTCTGAGTGTCCTGCCTGTACCCCACACCAGCCCTGCCTGCTCTCCCTGTATCCCCCCTGCCCTGTCCTTCCCGCCCTCCACAGGATGAGCAGAAGGCAATACTGCACAGGACTTCCCAACCCTGGAACCCCCCAAACAAAGGGGCTCCCAGCCCCAGGGCTCCCTAATCCTGGGGAGGTTCCCAAGCTGGAGAGACTTCTTGGCCTGGGGGGGAGGAACTCAACCCCAGTTGTTCCCTAGTGCTCCTCAGCAGGGCTGGGCAGGAGTTACAGCACAGGGACTTCTCTCCTCCAGGCCATTACATGGTGGTGAACACAGGCAGGGTCTTTCTGCCTGCAGGGCAGACGGCTGCCCTCACCTCCCAATTCTACCAGCCCTCCGTGTCTGCCCAGTGCCTGGCCTTCTGGTACCAGCTGAGCACAGGCACCCCAGGTGAGTACAACCTGTGCTGAGACCCCTGGGGGTACCTCCAGATGAGTGAGGACCCCATACGGCACAGCCCTGGACCCCTCCTCCATGTTGGATGCCCTGGGCAGGCTCCCTCAGGGTGTTCGTGGAGCAAAGCAGGGTGAAGAGAAAGGTTCTGAGCATGAGCACCATGGAAGGGAGCAACTGGCACCGCAGCCACGTCACCATCCAGCCTGATGGCGAGTGGCAGGTGAGACAGGGGAGGGTGCCAGTGGCAGCTGGAGGTGAGGGGGTGGTGCATGGAGGCTGCCAGCTTCACATGTCACCCTGCCTAGGTGGTGTTTGAGGCAGTGGGAGCTGGGGGTGACCATGGATACATCGCACTGGACGACCTGCACGTGTCAGATGGAGCCTGCCCTGAGCCAGGTGAGACCCCACCCCACAGGGCACTGTGGATCGGAGGGGGAGGATGAGACATCCTGTTAGGGCATGTAAGCCATGGGGATGGGGACAGCTTGGCCTGGCCCAAAGCTGGGGGTGTGTACCACCCAGGTACCCCATCTCCTGCTACGTAGCACTGGGTGTCTCACAGCCCTGCTTTCCTCCCAGCATCCTGTGACTTCGAGCAGGACACCTGTGGCTGGAGCAGCCCCTCGGACCCCCGCTTGCACAGCTTTGCCTGGGGCTGGAAGAGCGGGATCACCCTGTCCAAGTACCCTGGCCCTGAGCAGGATCACAGCCTGGGCACAAGGAATGGTAGGAACACCCGTCCCTGCCCAGGCAGCCTGGCATGGCCAGAACGAGGAAGAGCAGCTGGGGATGGATGGGGCAGTCCAGTACACTCTGTGAGGCCTGGCTCCACAGCATTCCTGTCCCCTTTTCGCCTGGGAGGAGCAGCTCAGCCCCAAGGTGCTGAGGTGCAGGGCTGCTGTGTCATCCTCCAGGCATCACTGGGCATTTTGGGGAAGAGTGGGCCAAGCAGGGTGGGACAAATGGGTGCAGGACTGGGGGACACCCTGCGTCTGTCCCTGCCCAGGTCACTACATGCACTTCGACACCAGTGTGCTGGGTGCCAGGGGCACCAGTGCTCTGCTGGAGAGCCCACCCCTGCCCGCGGCCACCGACTCCTGCCTGCGGTTCTGGTACCACATGGACATCCCGGAGTACCTCTGTGAGCACTGCAAGGGCAGGGAGGAGGTGCCATCCCTAGGTCTCATCTATGAGAGTGGGGGCCTCAGTCTTCCCCACCCGTGGACCCTGGACACTCTGCTTCAGTTCCAGCTGGGCAGTGGTGATGGTCCATTCCCTCTGGGTGCTATCATCCCAGCAGAGGATGGCATGGCCGGGAGGGCTCGGTAGCTCCTGTGGGCTCGGGGCAGCTGGTAATGCCTGTACCCCCTCCTTGCAGCCAGCGGGGAGCTGCAGGTGACGCTGCAGGGCGCGGCGGGGCAGCGCACAGTGTGGAGCGTGGCAGGGCACCGCAGCCGGGGCTGGCAGGGCGCCGTGGTGCCGGTGCAGAGCCCCAGTGAGTTCCAGGTAAGTGGGGCTACCCTGGGGTGCAGGGTGTCTCCGGGGGTGCATCAGCGCCTCAGACCCCACCTTCCCCCGCAGATCAGCTTTGAGATAACCACACGGAGGTGGCCGATGGAGGGGACAGTGGCACTGGATGACATCATGTACAGCCCCGGGGTGGGCTGCCATTCCAGCCCGGAGAATCCAGTGGAAGGTGTGGGGGTGAGGGGGGGGGGTGGCAGTTCTGGCTGTGAAAGGTCAGCCCAGAGCTGCCCAGGGTGCGGGGCTGAGGCTGGAGGCAGCTGTCTGGCCAGTGGGTAGAGCCTGAAAGCATTTCCTCCCCCTGCAGAGAAACCCTCGGGCAACTTCGTGGCAGAGGTAGTGCTCAGTCTGCTCGTGGCTCTCCTCATCGTGGGGCTGGTGGCTGCTGGGGGCTGGCACTGCCTGAAACAGCGAGGAGTAGCGAGCAGGACACCAACAGAGAGCAACAGTCCCCAGGGCTTCGACAACATCACCTTCCGGGATGTAAGGACAGGGTGAAAGACCTTCCTGATTACCCTAGCTGTGCCAAAACAGCATTTTCCTAAAAGCTCAGCAAATGTGAGCGGGTTCTCCCTGACCCCGCGTTCCGCCAACGCGACAGAGAGGTGCAAAGGGCTCTGCCTCTTATCTCCTTGTTGACAAAATAGTGACCCCGAGCTGTAGGACAGACCTAAAAGTGCTGCTGCCACCAGGCAGCTGCTCCAGAAAGAGCTGAGTGTGCTCCCACCCCAGAATCTTGTGGGAAGGGCGTCTGGTAAATCTGGCTCATCCTCACTGAGACAGCACTCAAATTAGAAATTAGTGCAAGATGCCTGAAGCTGCAGGTCCCGTGGACAAATCTGGTGCCATGACATCTTGCAGCAGAGCCACCAGCCTCACCATGGACTCCAACAACAAATGTGGAGCGCCCTGGGCGCACTAGGGGTTTGGTGCCTCTGTTGAGGTCGCAGGAGGCTGGCACACAGATTGTCCTTGCTGCAGCCTGGAAGAAATCCTGGTGTTTCACAGCAGACACCCCACGTTTGTCACCTTTCTTTTCACTCACCTTTCTTTGCAGGACAAGGTCATTATATCTCCAAGAGAAGGGGATGAGTCTTGAAATTAGCAGCCAGCAGCAGGAATTGCCTGCGCCCCCCGGGCAGACCACCCTCGACAGGAACCCACACTCCATCAGTTGCCTGCTCTCTGCCCCCGGCACCGGGGAGCCGGCAACCCGGGGAGCCTGTCCCGGCCAGGGACACACTCACATCACTACCTCCAAGTGCTCGGGAAAAGCGTTGTTGTTTGTAACATGAACTTACTGCTTTCAAGACACAGCAATGTGCCCGTGCTTTGATAGGGGGAAGGAGTGGGAGTTCCCACAGTGGCTGTCCTCATCCAAACAGGGTTCTGGCCATGGAAGTGGGGCTGGCCATGGAGTGTGGGGTCCTGGCCCCCAGAGCTGGGGAGAGCAATGGTTGCTGCAGAGGGACACCCAGGAGAAAGCACAAGAGCTCCCAGGGCACAGAGACCACACGGGGAGGAAGCTCTGTACCTCTGCTGGTTTTTGGGAGGGTGAGTGGTGGGTGGGAGGGCAGGGAGCAGAGGGGGGCACCACTCAGCATCCCTGAGGGCAGTAGGCAGCTCCCGCTCTTGTGTAGATGCCTACCTGCTGCCCGCACACCTGGTAAATGCACTTGGGAAACCCAAAAATGTTCCTGAGGTGCAGGCTGTGCTCAGGGCCTGGACCTCCACCCTGCACCCAGCGCACCCAAGCCCAGGACCCATCCCTAACCCCCAGCTTTCACACCATAACACTGTGAACTCCAAACCCAGCCCCGCACGCAGCCCAGTTAAGCCCCTGCACAACAAGGAGCCCATCAGGATCCTGCTAGCCCCAGCCTCCATGTCCAGCTCGAGGGATATCTTGCTTTCCCAGATTGTGACCAGAGCCTGTCTCCCTCTCACCCAGCTGTGTCCCCCTTAGGTGATGCCTCAGTCATGCCAAGCACCATCCCCAAAGCCCTGTCCTGCTTGCAGAAAGGAGGGCCCAACAGAGCTGAGAGCTTGGGAGGGGCAAGGAGGGCTCAGGCTTCACCTGACGTCTCTGCACCTGCCTGGCTCTGCAGATCCCCACAGCCTCCCCTCACCTCCACAGCACTGATTCCACCCCCAGGCTGCTGGCCAAGCTGCACCATTCCTGACCCAGGGAGAGGTGACACAGCCAGGAAGACCGTGACAGTGTTGTCCCTCATCCCAGGCAGCCCAGATGTCTCTTTAATTACAATCCCAGAAGGAAGAGGTGGTGCAGCTCCAGTCACACCCAGCCACAACATTTACTAGTAGCTGGTCACATGCAGCAGCTCTCCATGGCAACTGAAGGGTATCAAACTTTATTATAGATCTCTTTAAAACAGGCTGGAAAGAACAAACCAAATTCATTGAGATACAGTGACTGAGTCATCATTTCTGATCAAGCCCCAACTCTCCCAAATTATTTATATATAATATATCTCACCCATCCCCCAAATCGTTTCAATTAAATCATCACATTTCAGACCACCCTAAATGCCTTAACATCAGCTGCTGCTAACACCACAATGCACATGTTTTCTGGCAAATCAGAGGCAGGGTTCGGGTTTTTTCTTGGGGTTTAGATCCTCAATCTCTGAAAAGGAGCAAGGAAAAACAAACATCAGGAAAATTGCTTCTTTAAGGTTGCCTTTTTACAGCAGGTACAGATGCAGCAGATTTCCCCCCAAAGCAAGTCTGAAACGCTCTTGTTCAGCTTGGCAATATGCAGAGTGGTTGAGGAGAACCAGATCAGTCTGAGCAAACTGATTTCGAGGCTTTGTTGTCATTTCCCTTTGGGGCCAGTTTCCAGCGGTTTTCCAATGTCCTTTCCACGCAGTTTGAGGCCTGGAATAAGACAAAGGAGACCACCACCATCAGCACTCAATCAATCACCCAAGAACTTTTATTTCCACTAAATTCAGCCTCAAGGAGAAGAACATCCAGAAAGAGAGCAGGAGAACCAGAGTTCAAGAGAATCCTACTTTAGTTTCTAGGAGCACCAGACTACCTTCAAACTAAACTCATCAGATGGGATCTGAACCAGCCCAGGAGAATAAAACCAACACTAAACACTTCCACAAGTGCAATCAGGCTTCCACGGGTCTCAGCATCTCACAGGTTTTGGGGGCAAGCACACAGGCATGGTCCCTAGGGCACAGCCACAGGCATGAAGGTGCAGACAAAGATCAAGAGCTCCCAGTTCTGGTCCAGTCAGCAGATCCAGGTTTTATCCAAACATGATTTAATTGCACCACACCCACAATAAAACTCCAGCCAGCAATGTTCCTCACAGGAAAAAGGCAAATACTTTCCCCCAAAGCACCCCTCCAAACACTGGCAGTATTTCTGAAGTCTCCCTTAACTCACCGATGGCTCTTTCGATCTTGCCCATGACCTGGTTATTTGGGATCGCTCGTCCTGATTCGTAGTCAGCGATAACTTGTGGTTTTTCATTGATTTTCTGGAAAGAGCGGATGAGTCTCAAACACAGCAACACTCAGCAGCAGCCCCCCAGGACTCACAGAGATAAGGAACGGCCCCTCATTATGCTAGAGCAGATGACAAAGTGCTGCTCCCAGGTTGACTCCATCCCCACTAGCATCTCCATGCAATGTCCTAGCACTGGTGACATCCATCCTGGACAGATTTTGACCTCCCTTCTTTTCAGGAGGAGTAGGAACACCAGGAATTGCTGTTCCTTCAGACAGGGTGTTGCTAACACTGCTCAGCCCCGACGGTGAAAACCTCTTGGGTTGGTGTGAGCTGCTGCAGGAAGCGGGGAACAGCCTCCCACCAGCTCACCAGCCACAGACAGGCTCTGCCTCCAACCTGGGGCTCAAGGTCACAAGACAAACCTCAAAACTTTTCTCAGACAAATGAAGCCAGGACATCAGACACCAGAGATGCTGTATTCCCCAAACTTCCAGCCCATGACACCATCCCACTGCAGCTGCCCATGAGGCAACAGGAAAGGTGCCCACCCTCACCTGGAGTACTCCACTCACCGTGGCCAGGTCCTTCTGTGTGAGGCCCTTGCTCTGCCGGCCCTGCTGGATCACTTTGCCCACCTCCAGGGAAACTCTGTCATGGTGCAGCTCCTCTGTTTCACGGTCAAGCTTGGCCGTGTTCTTTGTAATGAAGTGTTGTTTGTTCTGGCCTGCTGCCCCTGTCATTCGAAGTGAGAACAAAAAAACAACCGAGGACAAACAAAATAAGGCTCAGAGCTGTGCCAAAAAGTATCAAAGGACTTTTTCCAAGCCCTCAGCTGCCCAGGATCCCAGGGAGCTGTCAGGATTTCAACATACCAACATCAACGTTGACCTCACCCAGATCCTGCCCATCAGGGAACATTATATTAGCCCTGTTCTTGGTGCTGTGCACACCTAGCCACGCAGAGCCCTTCCCTTCCCTACTTCACACCTGAACTTTACTTCAAACAGGGCAAGTCTTGCTTTTCCTTGGGGATTTAATGCTCAAACTTCACTGCAGACACACATCTGTGCTGCAGCACAGAGGGGTCAATACTTGAATTTGAATCGTGCTTGCTCAGGTATGAGGCAGCACAAGTAAGTGACTTCTAAGTAATTTTCTGACACTTTTTATAAGTAAAGTCTAACTGTACTTAGCTTTGCTGAAAGACTAAGTTTCAAAAACACATTGTTTTCTCTCATGTTAGATATAGTATTTAAGCCCTAGTTTGAATCCTTTCTCTCGCATTAGTCTCTGACATTCGGTGTCCCAATAAAGCTTTAAGGATCATCTCTCTATTTATTTCCAACCATCAGAATCACCTCCCTACAGTGAGAGAACCCGGCAATTTACATCGGAGAAGAAACAAGGAATTTTTCAAGAGCAGCGCCATAGGAAAATCGGCAGCCATTCAAACTCGCCAGACAAATAAGCTGTCAAAACGGGGAGCTTAAGTTCTGTGCTCATAAAAGCTCTTCCAAGATCTCTGCAGAAATCAGGCAGAGCTCTGCCCTGGGTAACCAGAAGCTAAGGGACAACTACAGGGGCGTCATCCCGGCGGCTCCCAGGGCTGTACGTTACGGCCTGGTTCGGGATCGTTGGCTCAGCCGCGCGGTGCCGCCTCCTGCCTCCTCTCCCCATCCCAGGCAGCCGCCCCAAACCGGACCGGGCCCTCCACGCGGGATACCCACACTTCTTGGAGGTCTCTACGTCCTCCCCACGCCGCTGGGCCGCCAAGATCGCCTGGGGAGAGAGCGAAGGTGCGCGGTGAGCGCGGCGCGCGGCGCTACTCGGAGCGGTGGCCTCGACCACGCCGAGCCCAGGCCCGCCGCCTGCCCGGCCCCGTACCCGGCCCCCACCGCTCTCACCGCTGACCTGCTTCGACTTGGCCTGGGCCGCGCTCGGGCCCTTCTTGCGCAGCACCGTGACCGTGTCCCAGTCGCTCTCCGCCATCGCTCCGACCCCGCCCGGGCCGCGCCCGCCGCCGGGCACCGCCCAGTGCCCGCCTTCGGAGGCGTGGCCTCGTGGCGCCCACTGATAGGGCGAGGTGCACGTCCGTCAGAAAATACGGCCGCTCATAGGCGGAGACAGGCGTGAGCTCAGCGGGCGGGGCTGGGGTTCCTGCGTAGACCGTAGGCTTACCAGCGCCCTGGCGTGACGCAGCTCCGTTCGATAGGCGCAGCACTCTGCCAACCAGCTTGCTCGCTGTGCGATTGGCTGGTGCTTACGGCAGCTTGGGGCGGACGGCATGTGCCTGTACGCACTAAGATTGGGTGTTGGCCCTGCCAGTCCTCCAGCACTCGGCAACGATTGGTTTGTTCCGCGGCGCTGTCAGACCCGTTGACCAATAGCCCTGCACGGCTGAGCCGAGTCGAGCATGCGCAGTGCGGCGGCTCGCTGTGCCTGTTCTCCCGGGCCGCCTGGTACCGGGCTCGCCTGCGGGCACCGGCAGGGCAGGGGTGTCCCGTGCTGCGGGGAGCGCTGCAGAGCGTCCACAGGACTGACACGGGCATGGGGACGGTCCGGACGGACCAAGGGAGGAGCAGCTAAGGGTACTGGTTTGGTTCAGCCTAGAGAAGACGATACTGAGGTCAAACCTCACCGGGGGCTTCAGCTCCTCCCCCGGGGCAGCTCTGGTCTCTGCTGGCTGTGACAGGAACAAGATCCAGGGAACGGCTGGAGCTGTGCCAGGGCAGGCTCAGGCTGGAGATCAGGGCAAGGTTCTTCCCCCAGAGGGTGCTGGGCACTGCCCAGGCTCCCCAGGGAATGGGCACGGCCCCGAGGCTGCCAGAGCTCCAGGAGCGTTTGGACAGCGCTGCCAGGGATGGACAGGCTGGGATTGTTGGGGGGGTCTGGGCAGGGACAGGGGCTGCCCTGGGTGATCCTGGTGGGTTCCTTCCAGCTGTGGATATTCTGTGATTCGATGAAAATCCCTGAAGTGCATCAGAATCACCCAGAAAGTTTCGCAGTAAAGGCATGAAAAGCTGCTCCTGCTGTCGTAATTTCTGAAGCGAGAGGGCACGGAGTTAATGCTCTCCGGGCGGGTTTTTGTGGGGCCTTCCCATGACAAAGCGCAGGAGGAGTGGCCGTATCCCGGTGACGGTGATGATCCGGGCATTGCTCGGAAATCAGGTGCCGGGAGGGCCCGGGGGTTTGCCATCTGTCATTTTTCATCTGTCACCGCAACACACGCCTGGCCCCGGCTCCCAGGCAACAGGAGAAAGCAGCTCTGGAGGTGGGACATTAGCAGGGTGCAGGACTGTCTGCTTGGGCCGTGCAGTGGAGCCAGGGTGTCACAACAGCAGGACTGGGAGCAGCGTCAGGTGGTCCCATCCCGTCCCATGGCTGTCGTGAGCAACTCCAGGGCATTCTGTCCCATCCTGTCTTATTTGGGAGCAGCCCCATGGTCTCGTCCTGCGGCGGGCATCCTAAGCAAGCATTTGGTGCGAGTTTTCCGTCCCTTTGGGACTAGCCCGTCCTGCCCCGGCACTGTTGCTAGGTCACGGTCATTTCAGGAAACGCAGACAGGATTTTTCTTCGCTGGCTGACATCGCCAAATTTTCCATGCCAGTGTTCCCAGACCAGTGTGGCTGTGCTGGAAAAAGGACTGTTGCAGTGCAGTGGGTGAAGTGGTGCCCATCCCAGAGGAGCTGTGCCCGCCATTGCCGGTGCCGACACACGCAGGGATGCACTGTCCCCGGCTCCCTGACAGGGAGCATTCCGCCCTGATGGTGCCCGAGCAGCAGCACCTGGCCCCTCGCCAAGGGCTCGGTGTCCCCGAGCCCCCCACGGTCCTGCCGCGCTTCGACCCGCTTCTCCCCGGCCCCGTCTTCGCAGCTAGACTCCCGGGAGAGTCAGTTTGGCCCCTGTGTCACTGCTCTGTCACTGCGCCCGGCTCTGACGGCGAGGGTTTCCCCGGCCCCGGGTGAATTCCCCGCACTGAGAGCGCACCCATCCCCGCCCCGCCGGCGCAGCAGGCGGTAAAGCCCGGCAGACCCCGCGCCGGAGCAGGGCTAGGGGGCAGGCTGGGGACCCCGGATGACAAGTCCTGCTGCTGTAACCTTTTCCCGAACAAGTTCCCCTGCGAAAAGCACCTCGCCGTGACCTCAATGCGGGCTGCACCGCGCGCTTCCCCTACGTGGCATTTTTCCTGCCATCGCCGTCCTGTCGTCTCCGTCCTGCCACCGCCCATCCTTCCCGACCGCTGGCCTCCACCTGTCCCCCGAGCCGGCGCCACGGGACACGAGGTGGCCATGGCACTCTGTGCGCAGGTAGGCGAGGGTTCACTGATACCCAAAATGGCCAAAAGTGACCCTAAAACAATTTCGCAGGGTGCTAGGGCTCGCTTCGGGCCGTTTCCAAGGGTCCAGGAGCTTCTCACCTGGGGAGTGCAGCGGGAGATGGCTGTCCCCGGTGGGACCCCAGCACCACAGTCCCTCTGGGTCCCTCTCCAGCAGGTGCAGGGGATGCATGAGGGAGTCCCAGGGGATGGATGGGGAACCCCTGGGATGGACGAGGGAATCCACGAGGTCCCAGGAGGTGGATCAGGTGGGCTCAGGGGATGGATGAGGGAACTCAGGGGGTAGATGAGGAGTCCTGGGAGAATGTGGGAACATCTCGGAGGTCTGGCTTCATTCCCAGCAGGATCGCCTGAGGCAGGGATATGGCAGAGGACAGTGAGGGGCCAGCGAGGAGTGGTGCTGGGGAAGAAGTGACAGAGGACGGAGTAAGGGAATGACTGATGAGCTGGCGGGAGGTGACACTGGGGGGGGGTAACAGTAGGGGTGGCAAGGGGCATAACTGGGTGTGACGGTGGAGTGTTGAGGGTGGTGACAGGGATTGTTGTGGGGGTGTTGGGGGTGCACACATGGGTGATGGTGGGGTGGGTGTCGGGGGTGCAGGGATGGATGATGGTGTGTGGGAGCATTGGGGATGTAGGGGTGGGTGATGTTGGGGGATCGAGGGTGTCGGTGTAGGGGTATTGGGAGTAGGGGGGGTGGGTGATGGTGTTGGGAGTGTCGGCGGTGTCGCGGGTATTGGGGGTGCAGAGGGGTGGGTGGTGGGGGTGTCGGTGTGTTGGGCGTGTCGGGGGCGGGGCCGTTGCCGAGGCGGGCCCGTTCTCTGGCAGTGGGCGGGGCCTGAGCTCGCCCCACGTGTCCGGGGGCGGGGCCTGGCGGCGCTTCCGGTGCAGGCGCGGAGCGAGGGCCGGTGAGTGCGGGGCCCTCAGGGAGTGGCGGGGCTGGGCCACGCTTTGCCAGGGGCCCGGCATGGCAGGAAGCCTTCCTGGCTGCAGGGAGCCCGGGCCACATGGAGCAGCGGGGCAGCCCCGGACTCTTCTCCGGTTCGCGGTGTTTCCGTTCGTGGGGGCTCCTCCCGGGGACAGGCTGGGGGTGTTCAGCCTGGAGAAGAGAAGGCTCCGGGGATACCTCAGAGCTCCTTCCAGTGCCTGAAGGGGCTCCAGGAGAGCTGGAGAGGGACTTTGGTCAAGGACGTGGAATGAAAAGACAAGGAAGAACAGCTTCCCACTGCCAGAGGGCAGGGTCAGATGGGATATTGGGAAGGAATTGTTGACTGTGAGGGAGGGGAGGCCCTGGCACAGGGTACCCAGAGAAACTGTGGCTGCCCCATCCCTGGAAGTGTCCAAGGCCAGGTTGGACAGGACTTGGAGCAACCTGGGATAGTGGAAGGTATCCCTGCCATGGCAGGGGGTGGAATAAGATGAGCTTTAAGCTCCCTTCCCAGTCAAACCATGGGACTCCATGGATGGGCTCCTTGGGTGTTTTAGGTGGCTGTGGCATGTAGTCACAAGGAATGAAGGTGTGAGATGCATAAGCTGCCAAAACAAAAGCATTTTATTCTTTTCCTCCTTTCCAATTTGCTTATGCCTCTCATGTCCTCATTTTCCATCGCTCTGGACAACCCTCTGTGCCTGATTGGGCACCACCACTAAATCTGGGCTCCATCGTGTGCCCGGCTTCACCCCAGGAACATCTGGGTCCAGCTGCCTCTGGGCAGAATTTTGGTCCCTCCTGACAGCAGGCAAGTGTGAAAGCAGGCATTGATAGGCTGTCGTAGCCAAAAGGTTTTTGTTTAACTGAGCTTATTATATTTATTTCTCATCACCTTTAAGATAGTTTTTTACCTTATTTGGAGCAGGAAGCCTTGATGTCTCTAAACAGGCTGCATTTCAGTCAACTTGGACAGGGGCTTTTATTAGGTCTGTCCTTTCTGTCTCTGTGTTCTGGATCTAGTTCTAAAATTCAAATTTCCTCCCATATTTGGGAGGTGAAGGCAGGCTTGTGATGTGATTTACATCAGTGTGTTTCCTTGTGTTGGGGGACAGTCTAATAATCTGTGAGTAACACAGTTTATGTGACAAATCACCCCCATGCAGTTACAATCAGTTTGAGAAAATACTTTTATTTTCAGTCTCTGGAGATACAGCCAGAACTTTTCGTTCACATGGCAGCAGCAAACTCTTCTCCACCTGGTTCTTTGGATCTAAACCAGCCTGGGTTTGCAAAGGAGATCCTGGGAACTAAACTGGAGGTCAAATACCTCTGCTCCGATTGCAAGAACATCCTGAGGCGGCCATTCCAGGCACAGTGTGGCCATCGCTACTGCTCCTACTGCCTGAAGAAAATCATCAGGTAACTGCTGTGCTTTCAGTGGGAAGGCAAAATGCTTGAAAAGCATTTTCCAGAACAAAAGCAGAGAAAAGTGTTGTTTTCAGGACCTTCTGAGTAAGGGAGCTATGTTCAGTCATTGAGGTTCAGCATCACCCGTTCTCTAAGGGAATGTGTAGTCTCTGACTTGCCTTTGTTCAAAGTTCTGTTTTATGGAATCCCCTGAATTGTTTTTGCCACTGAGGAGGCAGTCCAGGTCTATCACCCCTCTCTTTCAGTCCTCATCACAGTCATAAAGTCATCATTTCATTGTTATGTCAAAATGGGAGAGGTTTAAGCACAAGCTGGCTTCCAGAGAAGTTTCCTTGTGTTCTGTCTCTTTGAGTGAGGGAAGCTTAATAGAAGGATTAATTGGCAGAAGAAAAAAATTAGAAATGGATGTCAAAAATACACACAAGCAAAGGCGCAATGTGTTGCTTTAAAAATAAGAAAATTTCATAAAATTACCAGAAATCAATTTATTGTTAAATCTTAAATTAGGGTTTTTTTGTTGTGTTTGATGATTATTTTTCTGTCTGGTAGTGCTGGACCTCAAAAGTGTGCCAGCTGTATCCAGGAAGGAATATATGAAGAAGGAATTTCTATTTTGGAAACGAGCTCGGTAAGGAAAAATGCGTTGAAAAAAACCTAACAGGTCACTGGTGTCAGTAATACCAGTTGCAGTTTTTGTTTAAAACACAAGCTCTGATAACCCCTTATTCCTAGGAACCCTTTTCTTTCACAGTGAGAAGGGTGATTACTGTGTTGAACTCCTGGGTGCTGAAATCCAGGTCATGTGTGTGTAGTGGTGCCCTACTTAAAGCTGTCTCAGCGATTTGGTTGCTGTTAACACACCTCTGAGGGTTGATGGGGCAACTGGTCTGGGAGGAGTTTTCAGAAATAATTAAGTCCTGATCAGAACTGCAGCCCCTCAGTAATATTTTTGGCTTGATTGTTTTTTCCATTTCAGGCTTTCCCAGACAACGCAGCGCGGCGGGAAGTGGAGAGTCTGCCTGCTGTCTGCATCAACAGCGGCTGCACCTGGAAGGGAACTATCAAAGAGTACGAGGTACAGGCCAAAGCAACGCTTGGCACGTCTGCATCCTTCTTTCCGCTGTTTTTGGGGAAGGCTCAGGGTGTTGTCCGTGCCTGCTGACAGTGGGGGAAAGTTGTCAAATCCCTGGACTTCACTGTCAGCTGGAAAGGTTCCTTGAGTGAGGGTTTGTGTGCCCTGCTGAGATCACAGGCTGGACTGAGATCGGTTCAGGTTTGCTTGAGCATGTGCCTTCCATGATGGGAACCACCTGCTCTCTTTGCAGCTGTTCTTTGCTATACAAGACTGTCAAGAAATTGCTGTGCCATGAAATGGTTGTGAATTTCTCTGTATTATATGAACCTAAAACTTTTTGGACTCCATCAGCTCACAGGAAGTGACCTGACCCCATTTCAGCTGTCTCCAGAGCTACCAGAGCGTGGGACTAGATGTTGGGTACTGTCTGGTCACCCATCACCCCAAGCTGTTCTGGGACTCAAGGCTGCTGGACAGCATGGCTTTTCCACCTTGTTTCTCCTCGAGGAGCCCACTAGCTTTTTAATCCAGGTTTTAGTCACGGCTGTGGCTGCTTGGTCCATAGCATGTGAATATATGTGAAACTTTTGGCTCCTGAAGGACAATTTTGTCATCCCTCTTGGAATGGTAGAACCACCACACAGGAGGCCTGAAATAAGAGGACTCATTTCATTTCTCTCTAACACTCGCTCCAGATAAAGATCATAGCCTGGTGGTTCACAGAGCTTTGGTAGTGACTGAGATGTATTTCAGGAACAGGTGAAACCTCTGTCCAGACTAACATTGGGATTCTCTCGATGATGCCATTGCAAAGTGGAAGGAAGAAGCAACAGTTGTGCATCAGGCCTGAGCGTTCTGTCCAGACTGTGGAGCCTGTTAGCAGAGAGATGCTTCTGCAGCTCTGCTTCCTTGTCTTGCTGTCTGAGCCTTCTGCTGTGTGCTCAAAGTTCAGTCCTAGAGATGAGGATGTCGGTGATAAATGGTTCTGCTGCTGTGAACCCCCATTTGTACATCTGTGAGAGGCTCATGGTGTGGATGTGGGACAGAAGAAGTCAGAAGTCAGGTGAAAAGCTTAACGCTGCCAACATCACAGAGTTTGGGGACTGCATGTCAGAGAATGGGATACTCTGGTACTGAGGTTTCAGGTTCAGGCTGTGCTGGTGATGTCTGCAGGTTGTTTGCTCTATGCTTTGATTTCTGCTTGTGCCCAGGAGTCCGGTGTCTTCTGCAATGATAATAGTGAGCTCATCTTCATTAGTCTAAGCTAAATTATATCTGTCAGCAACTTCCAGTGCTGATTGTACTGTGGCTGATGAGCTGTGCTGAACTTTTTCTTTTGGTTTTAAAAAAGTCTTAGTGTGTTCTTGCAGAGCTCAGCAAAAATCTTCAACTGCCAAAGGTTGTCCCTATGCATTCTGACAAGTGTTTCAGTGCTTGAGTCCAGCCAGAGCTCCCACTGGGAGTTCAGATGGGCAACGAGCTGTCCTGGGACCAGGGCCGCAGGAGCATGTTGTGCCCCAGAACTTTGCACAGAGCTGACGATCAGCTCCAGAATGGATGAGTCTGTGCCTTGTTTTTGCTCTCCACCTGATCTTCCCAAGCCCCAGTTCGGCATTTGCTGGGACAAAGGATGTACGATAGAGGTGTGGCCCTAGAGTGTGTGGACTCTGGGTCTGTGGCACACATCTTTCCTGCCAGGGGTTTTTATGAGTCTCAGGGAGTGCTGTGTGGTACAGGGGGTATGGGGGTTTGAAGCAGTGCTGGCTGTTTCAGGGGCTGAGTCACCTCTCCTGCCTGCCCTGGTGGCATTCAGCCTAAGGAATGAGGTAATTTTGTGCCCTCTCAGGAAAAGTTGGCTCTTTCCTAGGAACTGGTGGGAGGAGGCAAGGTCTGGCTTATCTCCTCCCAGATGCCTGCTAAAGAGCTGTGGTATTTAATCAGGACTGGCTGTCCCACACTGCCAGAGCCATGTGTGTGGCTGAGGAGGGCTAGGAAAGGAGGCATTGAATGGCTGCCTTAGCTCAGAGCCTCTTGGTACCTTGGGCTAAGGTTAAACCCAGTCTTCAGTGCAGAGCTGCCTGGTGCATCCGTAGCTGCGCTGTGGGTAACGTCCTACAGCAGCTCAGCACTCCCACTCTGGAAAGTCCCTCAGAGCTATTTCCGACAGGACATGGAAAGTCCCTCAGAGTGAATTCACTGTTTGCTAATTTAAAAATTGTGTGTTGTGCTGAGAGTGGCTGCTCTCCACTTGCAAATGAAGAGATACTGTCACTTCTGGTTTGCTAATCTTACCAGGGCAAGCACAGGGGAAAAATGTTCTGCAGCTGGAAAGCTTAAGCCTCAAAAAAAGGAGTTAAACGGATTTCAGTTTTGCTTTCTGTTCAGGCAGACTAAAGTTTGGGTCTCAAAGGGAAACACAAAACTGAACGAGTGCAGTCTGCTTGGACATGACTTGCACTTCTGCTTCAAGCTGTGTGGACCATACGAAATATTTGTCTGGATTTATGGCTGCATTTTTCAGAGTTTGTAAATATTTAGTGGCATTTGGATAAAGTAGTTTGTGGGGGGGCTGAAGGGATTTTCCTTCTATTAGTGATCTTGTTTCCTGATGAGTCTATGTGTATGTACTTTTGGAAAATCAGGCTGTGGGCATGAGCCTTTAGATTCAAGAGCAAAGTCTGAGGAGAACTACAGAAACTAAACCCAGGCCATTAAAGCGAAAGGAAAAACCTCAGAAACGCTCCTGGTGATAGCCAGGAGAGGGAGTTTGTGGTTCCTCAGCTCTGGTGTGTTTTTCCTCCTGCCTTACAATACCCCTAGCTGCCACATCCCTCTCATGTTCATCAGCATATCATTGTCAGTTTTCATGCATCTTTTATTTATTATTTATGCTTTTCATCCCACTAGTTCCTTTCCTGTGACCTTCCCTTAGGACTAGGATGGGAGGAGGGTGCTGACAAGGGGTACACACAGGGTCAGCTTTGGCATTCCCCTTGATTACCCCAAGGGGATTTAACTCAGCCCTCTTCAGCTGAAAACAGAATTAACTGAGACATAAGGAAATGAAATTGTCCAATTTTAGGAAGGAGAACTAAGTTTTAAGCTTAAACATTACTTCAGTATTTAAACTAAGTTTTGTGGGCCTCAGATGAGCTCAGCTCCTGAGGCTGAGCTACAGTCAGGTGTGGGAGCAAGCTGACTTAATCCATGCTGGAGGGAATGTGCTTTACTCGAGTTTGTTGTTGTCACTTTGGTTTTAGAAAGTTCTTTGTAAGTGAAGCCTGGAAGGCTGCAGAAAGTGCAAAACTCCAAACCCAAGTGATGTGACTCAAAAGCCTGTGTTGTCAGAAAGGATGTCTGCTGTACTGTTCTGGGCTATGTGGCTTCTTGGCACCAGAAGAACAGGATAACCAGGCATTTCTTTCTGCCCACTCTTCATACTTAGGAGATGCTGTAGAACCTCTACCACACCTTATCTAGGGTAAACTCCCTCTTCAAAAGTGCTGCTGGGGGCCCTGAGCCAGGGGTTCTTCTGGTGCACTGTGTCATGCCCCTCCTTCCCAGCTGCACCCTGGAAATGTCCCAACAGGTTTTGGTGGTGATTTTCAGCTGAGGCTGGAACTTCAGGGTTTTGCACATTGCTTAGGGGAGAGCTGTTGGTTTTTGAAGCTCGTTCACCGTCTCCTGCTCCACAAAGTTGTACCTCTGAATGTTGTATCAGTGTTGTCTATGTGGGGTACAACACTTGAGGTGCTGTGGCAGGAACACTTGGTGCTCCTGTATCAGGATGATCAGCCTTCTCTTTAAAACCCAGTACAGTATTTATTGTCTTTTTCTGAAGGTTTTGGCTCTGGATTCTGGCCTGGTGGTGAAGTGCAGTTTGCAGCTAGCTCCAGCCTGACTAGCAGGACCAGACAATTTTCTGGTGAGAGAATCCCTGACTTGCACATGCAGGTGACCAAAAGAACCTTCTGCTTTTGGAAGAGGGATCAGACACACCTTTATTTTCCAGAACCGGAGCTGAGGCCCACAAACACATCTCAGCCATGCTTACAGTCCCCACAGTAGTTAGTGTAGCTGGCTGCCCAGACGCAGGCAATTTCCCGTCCAAACTTGTGGTGGGAGGTAAAGCCACGGGGAGTGCCGGAGAGCGTGCGTGGGAGGGGTTGGAAAGCCCCGGCTGTAGAGGGTCTGCTCTTCACTTCTGAAACCAGCTCAGCCTTCTTGTGGTGGCCCAAAAATTAATAGTTTTGACATCTGCCCCTTGGAGAATGAAGAGCTGTAAGTCACGAGGTTTCAAGTGGAGGTGAGTGCTAAGTATGCCATCTACACTGTGAGAAAACCCCTCACCATGAATGCAGCTGGGGGAATTGTGGAGGGGTTTGGAAAAAGCATCCTGGAATGTGCCACCACTTCATGCTTGTTTATAGTTGAAAGCAACCAGAAGTGGCAGAACCTAATTTAGAAAATGGCGGAAAACCTGCTGTTGCTTCAAATGCATTTTGTACTCTCCCTTGCCCTAAGAAATTGCTCTTGCCTTCACACTTGTCTTCAGTGCCTGAAACACTGCCTTGGTGTCCCTCTGCCAGCAGTCCCTAAATCAAAGCTCTGTCTGATCAGCCCTAACAGCTGATGCACAAAACTTCAACATTGAAAACAAGAGTTTCTCCCCTGGGTCTGAACAGACGTGTGAGCCAGACCCACAGGAGCCCCCACAGAGCTTCTGCTCCCTTTTGTCCTCACTCGGGTGGGCACCAGAGTACTGAGCGCCAGTGGGGGATGTGCAGGCCCTCACTGCCTGCCCAGCTGGAGCCAACAGTACCTACTCATGCAAACTTCATCTTTGGTTTTGACAGTTTCTTTGAAGTTTGAATATTTGTGATGTCAAGTGAACTTGCTTGGATCTGTCAACAGCATGTCCCAGCAAGGGAGAAGTTTGTGTCTGGCACCAGCCTGTGTGATGGTCTCAGAAAGCTCCCATTCCTGTTTGGCACTGGAAATTACAGACTGGGTTCCTGGTTTCCAGCCTTGTGTTGCTGGGCTCCATGCAGTAGCACAAGGACTGGGCGTGTGGTCACCCTGTGCCTTGTAGCCTGACTCACCTGTATAGGGAAAGGTTCGAGTAAACCTGGCATAGAAGCAGCTTAGGACTTCCCTGGCAGTTGGAGCTGCAGCACAGAAGGACATGGAGACTTCAGAGGAGCAGGGCATCATTAAGCACCTGCCTTGTGTGGTACATTCCCATCTTGCAGGCTCTGAAGCCCCTGGGGAACTGACAAGAGGTGCACAAAGCAGCTGATGCTTCTTAGCACATAGGATTCAGGTTCCCTTAAAACTCTCTCTTTTGCATTGGAGACCCACTTTCAGTGTTTTCTCTACAATTTCATGGCCCCACACTTTTCCTTGTAGCCAGGCTACAGGAAAAGTTTCCAAGGAGCCAAGTGCCGCACATGGCAGTGCTGGCACTGGAGACTAGCCAAGCCCTGATAGCCACTGCTGTACCCTGATAGCTGCTGTGGCAGCTGGCTTTCCTCTGCTGTCCTGGTAGTTCTGCTTCCTTCTTGTTGCTCCCTTCCAGCTGCCAAGCCCTTGACCTGTCTGCTTATGGTTACTGTTGCTGTGTTTGGAGGAGACTAATGGAGTGACTTTCCAAGACGGGGGATTTTGTAGGAGAGCTGCAGCATGCAGTTCACTCTGAGTCTGTCCTGCTGTCCCTTGTCCCTCTGCCAGCCCTGCCCTTTGCTGTGACCTTCCCACAGGCTCTGGCAGAGGTATCTCACAGCAGCTGATTCAACAGTGGCATTTCCTAGCTGCCTGCCTTGTCCCTTTGTTGGAAGGGGAACCCAGTGTCTTGCTGATGGATTCCTGATATAGTTACAAGACCTCCAAAAAACTGGACCTGTCTGGATGTGGCAGGTTACAGGCAGAGCGGCCAGGCACCAGGGGTATGTCCTGCTCTGCCACCAGGGTATGGAGATAATGATTTCCAGCAGAAGCCTCTTCCAGAGCTGAAATCGAATTTAGCAATGCCCTGAGATGAAATGGTGATCAGATTAAACTGCAGTTTTCCCTATTGGCTGGGAGAGAAATAGAGAAGCAGCTCATGCTGGCATTGTATTAGAACCAGAGAATATTCCAAGCTGGAAGGGACCCACCAGGGTCACCCAGCCCAGCCCCTGTCCCTGCCCAGACCCCCCAACAATCCCAGCCTGTCCATCCCTGGCAGTGCTGTCCAAATACGCCTGGAGCTCTGGCAGCCTCGGGGCCGTGCCCATTCCCTGGGGAGCCTGGGCAGTGCCCAGCACCCTCTGGGGGAAGAACCTTTTTCTACTGTCCATTCTAACCCCATCCTGACACAGCTCCAGCCATTCCCTCTAGTCCTGTCACTGGCACACAGATCAGAGATCAGAGCTTTCCCTCATGAGGAAGCTTCAGAGCATAGTGAGGTCTGCCCTCAGCCCCCTTAGGAATGATCACTGTGTGTTCCAGGGATCAACTGCCCTTTTTAAAATCCGCTTTTCCCTCTGTATGCCTGCACTCCCCTACACAGCTGCAGTGCAGAGTGCTGCCCTTGCTGTCCCAGATGAATCTGCCTCATCCTGCTGCTGGAGTGTCTGGAGAGAAACTTTGTCTGCAAATACTGCAAATTTTAAAAATACACAGCTGTCCTGATACTGAGGTGAGGGATTCCCAGTACATGCGGGCAGCTCTGTTTGCCAGTGGGCCTCCAGGCAGAGGGGAGAGCTCAGCACCTTTGAGCAGCCTGGAGAAGAGAAGGCTCGGGAAACCTCACTGCAGCTTGTAAGTCCTTACAGGAAGCTTGTAAAACAATGCAGAGAGACTTTTTACATGGACAGATAGTGACAGGAAAAGGGGGAGCAATTTTAAAGTAGAAGAGGAGATACTTAGATTAGATGTTAAGAAGAAATTCTTCCTTGTGAGGGTGGTGAGGCCCTGGCACAGAGAAGCTGTGGCTGCCCCATCCCTGGAAGTGTCCAAGGCCAGGATGGATTGGGGCTTGGAATGACCTGGGATAGTGGAAGGTGTCCCTCCCCATGGCAGCGGGGTAGAATGAGATGGGCTTTAAGGTCCCTTCCAACCCAAGCCATTCCATTATTCTGTGATTCAATTATTTCCCTCACACACAGCTCCTGACTCTGGTCCTCTCGATTGCCGTGGTCCTTCCATGGACAGTGGTGTCTGATTTTCTAACCTTTCCAGTGAGCTCCCAGGGAATGGCCTGATGGTGGGTGGTGGAGAGGCTGCTGTGAGGTTGTGTCACTGTTTACTATTAGGGAAAGAAATTGATGTGTGGATCAATCAGCAGCTTTGATTGTAATTCAGTGGGAAGAACCAGATGTTGCTGAAAGCTTATAGCTCTGCCCCATTTGATTTTTCCGCTCCTGCTGTTGGATGCTGCAGGCTGGTGTGTGCCTTGCTGGGTGAGCAGCTGTCTTCCAGCTCCACTTTAATTCTTTCATGGCTGTCCCCTCCCTCTGTTGCTTGTCCAACTTGATTTTCACTATGGTTCCCTCTGGGAGAGTGCCTGTTCTTGCCTATCCCCGCTCACAGCCATGGCTTTCTAGAGCTCCCAAAAACTTACCAAGCAAGTGCCTGGATGTCAGTGGTGCTTATTTCTGTAGCAGAAGCTACAGCTATGGGTTTGGGAAAGATATAAATATGATTGCCCCATTGCTGGGGGAGTGGAGTGTGGCAGATCAGGCTCGAGTGCCAACCCCTGCTCTTGGCTCCAGGATGGGTTGGATTTCTTCCAGCAGTGATACCATCCATCTCTGTTCTAACACCCACGTGGGGTGGGAGGAACAGGGGTTTCCAGAAGAGCCTGAAACTGTTTATACAGAAATGTTTGCATCTGCACTGGCTGATGCTTCTGGGTGTCTTTAACCATTTACATACAGAACATTTGCACTTCGAGCACAGCGGAGGTGGTTTCCGTCCCATGCTACAGGCAGGGCTGCCCACTTTTGGGCATTACATCGTGGTGCTGAGGGGAGTCAGGATGGAGGATGAATGCTGGGAGGTGGGGAATGTGAAGGGGGTGGTAGTTTCACACGCAGCATGTTGGTATGGGAGACCATAAGTTTAAAATACTCCCTTTTAAAATAGTTGCCTCTGCAGTGAAGTTTCCTTCTTTAAGCCAGACCATCTGTTCTGTCAGTGCTTGGTGGGTCATGGGGTAGATACTATCGGGTGTTTCTAGAACATGACAGCAGTAGTAGAAAGGGCTCAGCCCCTTCTTGAGTGGGAGTGAGTGGGGTAAAGGCAGGCACTTGGTCTCCTGCTCCTCTGCAGGCAGCAGTGTCCGTGAGGGCAGCAGTGTCCGTGAAGGCAGCGGTGCCCCCCAAACCCCGCTGGCTGGTTGGTCATCTCTCGAGGGACACACATTGGAACTCTGAGCTTAAAAGCATAAAAAGGAGAGAGTGACCAAGAAGCTGGAGTGGAGCTACTGCTGGTTTCACTTTCCACTTCCTGATTTGTGACAGGGTGAGGTTTGTGCATGTTCCCACAGAAGGCAACAGAGAGATTGAATGTGACCATATTTTCAAACAAACATCTGGTTTCAGGTGGCTGCATTAGAAATGCTCCTGGTTGGATTTTTTTTCTGTCCCTACCAGGAGACTTCAGTGCTCTTATCTTTTAATTTGAGTTTTGATCTGCATATTCATGGTGTTTCCAATGCCGTGTTTCAACTGGTGGGTGTATAATGAGAAGGTTTAAGCAGTGTGGAAATGACACAGAAGCAGAGACATGTTCCAGCATTCCATTTAGCCAGCACTGTTGCCCAAGAGTCTACTGAGGACAGAGGATCATTTTGCCTTGGTCATTTGTTCAACCTCTCTGGCCATCACCGAACCCTGACTCTGGCTGCAGGAGTTGGTGCTTATATGAAGGGGCTGGTAAATGAAACAATTTAAAAATATTTTTGTTTCTGGTTGAAAAATGGTATTCTAATACAAATGTGAAGATACAATCAGACAGCTCAGCCTGGTGTGTGATGAGCTGGCACAGGGCCTGTACCTCAGCTGACTGATAACCCTTACAGTGGAAAAATTACCCAAAATACCCTGTTGAGGTAGCAGGTCACTCCACTCAACCTGCCTCAATGTGTCTTCTCATGGCAGAGCCATAAATGGAGTTTCCCGTTGAGTATCATGGCCATCAATGCAATAACTTGATTTTTTAAAAAATCATTGTAGCAGCTTTTAAATAGAGGTTGAGGCTATGTAGGCACCCAAAATTGGGATAGCCTGGAAGTGACAGGATGAGTCAGCAGCTCAGAGAGATCACCTTGACCAAGGTCTGAGTTAGGTTGGTAAATCCAGCTCTTGGCTCTTATAAAGTATAAACCCAGCCCCATGGGATTGTGCCCATCACAGAACCTCCGTGAAGCTTTTATTTGAGGACAAATATCTCCTGTATGTTCCTTCACAGGCTCATGATGAAATCTGCCCTGAATTCCCGTTGACTTGTGAAGGCTGTGGGAAGAAGATTCCCAGGGAGAAGGTATCCATCCAACCCTGTGCTGCGGGGGTATTTCGTGTCCTGATGGGCTGAGCTTGGCATTCTGGGAGCAGGGAGGTACAGAGTCCATTAGGAAATGAAGTGTGGAAAACAGTGGCAGCTGTTAGTGTGGATGTTAGTTTTCCCTAAGGATGGGTGTGAGGGAATGTGGCTCAGGGGCACTTGCAGGTCAGTGTTGGTACTGCCACTGCCACCTCCCTTGGAACCATGTCTGGGGGCAGAGCCTCTGGGAAGAGCACACTCTTGGGTGTATGTTCTGTGTAGAGCAAATGCATCAACCACTGCTGCAATTTTGGAAAGAGAGCCCATCTCCAGCTATATTAATCGATATCTAATTAATCATCTAAAGGAATACATGCCTATAGCATCTCTGGGCTGCTGGCTTCTGGGACAAGGCTCAAAAGTCTAAAAAATTAATGTTTTGGGAAATATTTTCAAACAGCACATGTATCTGAAACCATCTTGCCTTCTATGGGCAACTACTTTTAGTAGCAGTGTTGGAAAAAGCCCTTTAGCAGGGCAGGGGAACAGAGGCAGCTAAAAGAGGAGCAAAAGAGTTCTTCTAAATGGGCAGCGTAAGGAGGGGCTGAGGGTGGGGGTGCAACCCACCTTATCTGCAGGCTGGGGTGTGGGGTACAGCCTGGCTTATCTGCAGGTGGGAGCTGAAGCCCTGCAGGGAGCCAGCTCATGGGGTTCCCATGGGTGATTTACTCTATGTTTAAAAATTAACTCCTGTGTTTTTCTCTCCAAACTCTTGTTGATTATTTGCTGCCATGTTAACTCTGGATAACCCAACTCATTACACAAGCCAGATGGATCTAGGAGCCTTTAAAAAAGTAGTTTAAAACTAGTTTTAATTGACATCTGTTGTAGCAGATGTAGGAGTTAATTGGGGAGGGAATATGGTGGTTGTTCAGAACAGAGCTCTGGTATCTGATGGTGAGGAGTGTACTAAACTCAAACTGAAGCTGTGACAGTGCTTGTTGAATTAATCATGCGCTGTGTGGGAACCTGAACGAGTCATCTCAGTGCTGAGGGGTTAGTGGCATCTCTCTGCAGAAATGTAGTGCTGGGATGGAGGTAAAAATACCAACCTGTAGCACATCGTGACCAGAGTTGTGTGAAGTGCCCAGAATAAAATGTGCCCTTGTTTCATGGGGTTGTTGCCTATGCCCCCCATCCTCAGCCCTCAGGGAAGCTCATTATTCTGCATTCATAGCTTTTACCTGTACCCATTGCTTTTTCTCTCTTGCGTGTGCGGGTGAGCAGTGAGACCTCCCAGCCATCAAGAGAAGGAGAAATTAAGCTTTCTTCAGGGGTCAGGGCTGTATTTGTATTCCAGCAAAAGTCAGGCTTGATGATGGGCAGAGCTCAGGTTTAATGGGCACTTTGTCAGCTGGTGATTAGGCACAGCTTGGGCATTCTTCATCTTGGGAGTTTCCGAAATGTCAAGGGGATGCAAGGGGAGCACTGGGAACACATAAGATCTAACACTGCCTTCCTTCCTGCCTTTCTAGTTTCGGGACCATGTGAAGACGTGTGGCAGATCCAAAGTACCTTGCCGGTTCGAGGCTGTGGGCTGTGCTGAAGTGGTAAGGGCTCCTCTCTTGGGTTACCTTGGGGCTTTTCAGTCTCAGCATTAGAGTTCACCTGCAAACTACTGTTGCCGAAACTTTCACATGTGTTTACCTTCAGGTATTTGATTAAACCCATTGCACATGGAACTTCATATCATCTGTTGTGCAGAGTCTGTGTGTCCCAGGAATGAAATTCCTGTGGAAGGAAATCTCCTCCTACTTTAAGAGCACCCTAAGTGCTTTGGGACTCTAGTGATTATGCTGCTTTCAGGGGGAATGGCTTCAGACTGCCAGAGGTCAGGTTTAGATGAGATTTTTAGGAAGAAATTTTTCCTTGTGAGGATGGAATGGCCCTGGCACAGGTTGCCCAGAGAAGATGTGGCTGTCTCTGAATCTCTGGAAGTGTCCAAGGCCAGGCTGGATGGGACTTGGACCAACCTGGTTTAGTAGAAGGTGTCCCTGCCTAAGGCAGGGAGTGGAACAGGATGAGCTTTAAGTTCTCTTTGAACCCAAGCAAGTATGTAATGACTTTTGATTACAGTCATTTTGTAAGTGAAGAACTCGGGCCAGGCCATATTTCTCTATGTCACTTAATTTTTGCAGGTTCCACTGTTTCATAGAAATCTCTCCTCCGGGGGTTATGTGAGGCTTTGTCCTTTTTTGCTGTTAAATACATCTGACAGGGCTTTTCTGGGAGGGGTTGGAGGAAGGCAGAGCAGACCAGTATAGTTAGGGGAAAGTGTTTAGCATCCCTCATTGTATGTGATTTGAAGCATTTCTAAAACAAAACAAAAACCCCCACCACCCCCACCAAAACACATTTTTAAAAATTCTTTCCTCTTAAAAATTCTTTCATTGTTTTTTTCCCCCTATAAATTATAAACTTAAAGCTGATGTTGTGACCTGGATAGAAGGAATTTGTTCTGTGGATGGTTACAGGGTAGATTGCATATGCTGAGCGGGGGATGTATTTGTCTTCACGTAGGTGGAAAATGAAAAGCTCCTGGAACATGAAAGGAAGTGTTTGGCAGAGCATCTCTACATGCTGCTGAGCTCTGTGCTCAGCCTCAAGACTGATGCTGGGGACCCGAAACCCCTTCCTGTCCTTTCCTCATCACAAAACAGCTCCCCACTGCCGGCAGCAAACTCACTGTGCTCGGAGTCAGAACTCTCCCGGTCCCTGGAGCTCTTGGGAAGGTGTGAGGCCCTTGAGAGGAAAACAGTGACCTTTGAGAACATTGTCTGTGTGCTCAACCGGGAGGTGGAGAGAGTATCCCTGACAGCTGAAGCCTACAGCCGCCAGCACCAGCTGGACCAGGAGAAAATCGAAACACTGAGCAACAAGGTGTGTAACTGCTCGCCTGAGCTTCCCAGCACTCCCAGCAGAGACTGTTTCCTGTTTCCTTTCCATGTCATGAGCTAGCAGAGCTGCACCACCTGACCCTGAAACTCCAAAAATCTGAAGGCAGAACTAAAATACCTTTTGTGCCTGTGCCTAACCCTCAGCAGCTCCCAGGAAAAGATGAGAATTTAACTGACCTGTGTAAAGCATCAGATCTCTGTTAATTATCAAGTTGGGCAAGATATCAAGGGGTTCTTTCTCAGCGAAGTTTTCCAACTAGAGCCAGTGCACTCAGAATTTCACTGCATCTCACTAAATCTGTGGGGCTTCTCACCTTCCAGACCTTTCCAAAGGAGTGCTGCCTTTGCCAAAGGAGTGCAATCAGTGCTGCTGCCTGCAGCAGCAGACTGGAGGTGTGAAGGAGCTGCCTCCACCAGTCTGCTCCAGCACAGTCCCTGTGGAGTGCACCTGGTGTTCCTGGCACCTGGAGTGTGCAGTTTGCAGTGTTCCAGTTGCAGCATACTCTGGGCAACTGATCTGGCATGATCCCGTGTGAGCTGGCAGGGACAAAACCTTCAGAGGGTGTAGGTTCTTTTCTTTCTCAATTTAGTTTTGTCACAATACTGACTTATTGGGGATTTTTTTCCCATCCTCACTTGTGCTGCTCAGCCAGTGGAGCAGCTCCTTGGAAGGACTTTTACCTTGGCTATGGGAAAGTTTCCAGCTCAAGCACTGAGCTGTATCGATGGATCTTCTCCAGAGTGACAGGTGCAGAACGAAACTTCAGTGAATTGGCTTATGTTGCTCGATTTCTCCCTCCTACATTCCCTGTTTATTCTGGAGAAAGTCTCTCACTGAGGAGCAGTCCCGAAGGGATGCTGGAGTCTGCCAGGGTTTGCCATCTGTTCCAGGCCCCAGAGCCCGCGTGTTTCTAACCTGCAGTATGTATCCCACTGAGCAGGTCCGGCAGCTGGAGAGGAGCATTGGGCTCAAAGACCTGGCCATGGCTGAGATGGAGGAGAAGATCCGCAACATGGAGGCTTCCACCTACGATGGAGTTTTCATCTGGAAGATAACGGAGTTTGCCCGGAAGCGTCAGGAGGCGATAACAGGCCGCTCTCCTGCCATCTTCTCTCCAGGTTTGCAAAATCCCCAAAATCTTTTGCATCTCTCTCTGGGTGTGGGTCTTGTGGCAGATCCTTTGCTTGGGAGATGCTGCCAAGGCCAGGCTGAGAAAATCATGCCAAAACCAACAATATTCCATGTGGAAGGGAGTGTTTTGACTTGGATAGTGAAGCAGGCTGAGCAGTGCTGTTCTAAGAGGGAAGAGAGGGCTGAGAGGAGATGCAGTCTGTGGATGGGATGAGAAAGTGAACTGGCTGTAATTGTTTGGTTTGCATTGAATGTAAAGGCAAGGAAATACCAGCTGTTATCTGTGTTAAAGAAAAGGAAGTGGCGTTCCTGCTTGCAGTGAGGACAAAATGATTGCCACAGGGTTTGGCAAAGGGCGCAAAATCTTGAGTTCAAAACAGCAAATTGTGCAAGGAAGGTTCATTCAGGGCCTGACCCGGGACAAGCCAGGGTGAAGCCCATCAGTCTGGGGGCAGAAGGGGAAGGGCCTTACTCGTTTCTTGCTCTGCTCCTTGCCTGGGCCAGGGAGAACAGGATGCTCAGCTGCCTGGTCCCTCTCCCTGGCTACTCTCACCACCCTGGAGCCGCCCTTCTCCTGTTCCTCGATGAGTTTTACATTCGAAGGGTAATAGGAGTGCTGAGAAGGCCCAGAGGGGCAGTGAGGATGTTGTCCTTGGACTAGCAAAGAGGTCATCTGTCCTGAGAGCTTTTGGGTGAAGCAGGTGGAGAGGAAGGAGCAGAGGAAGTGAGCTGGAGATTACCAAGAGGGACGCAGTGATCAGGGACCTGATCTGTTGCTCCTCACCCTGTGGAAGAGCACAGTGTCTCTGCTATTCATAGTCTGCCTGTTGGGAAAAGCACCAAGTCCTGCAGTAAAATATTGGCTGTGACCTCTGATCTCTGCCTGTGCCTGCTGAGCCTCACCAGTCCCAGATGCACTGCTCTGTGCCACTGTGGGAGGGTGACTTGTGTCAGGTCCCTTTTCAAGCTGCGAATCTACCACAGGCATTCCCAGGACTGCTGGGGAAGGAAAGTGCCTGAGATCCCATGCTGGCCATGCCCAAGCCATGCTTTTGGGGTCCAAACGAGAACTTAAGTTCACTTGCCCCAACCAGAGGCACCAGCTCACAGTAGGGGTGCTGAAGGTGCTCTGCCTCCAGCCAAGTGTTTTACTGGGGGGGTTGTTCCTGCTCACCAGTGTTACTGCCATGAACCACAGCTCCTTCAGCCCTGGGGTGCAGGAGGATAGGCCCAAATCTGGGGCAGATCTCTCCTGGCAGTGAGGAAACAGCCAATGGACTAGCAGCAACTGCTCTGTGCACAGCATCTGCTCAGGCCAGGGGCTGCACTGCCTGGCCTTGGGCTTTCCAGACCACCACTGGTGCAGCCCAGACCTGGCTCCTTCCAGATGCCAAGCTTAAAAGCCCTCAGAGTTCAGAGAGATCTGCTGGTGCCAGGCTGTGCTACACTGGACCCTCACTGTGCCTGTTCCACACTTCTCTGACAGCTTTCTACACCAGCAAGTATGGCTACAAGATGTGTCTGCGTGTGTACCTGAACGGGGATGGCACCGGCCGCGGCACCCACCTGTCCTTGTTTTTTGTGGTGATGAAGGGACCCAACGACGCGCTGCTGCGGTGGCCCTTCAACCAGAAGGTGGGTCTGGAGCAGAGCCCACTGTGTCCAGCCACGGCCTCTCTGGTTTGGCACCTGCTTGAGCTTCTCGGCACTGTCATTCTGGCCTACTTGGCAAGGCAGAGCAAGGGCTCTGTGTTGGCTGCCTTGGAGGTTCCACAGGTGTGCTGAGAGCACCAGCTGTGCTGTGGGACCAGGGGGTGACATGGGATGTTTGGAACCCCACAGAGCCGCTGCAGGGATTGAGGGCAAAGGAAGGTTGTGGTGGCCTCAGAGTTCGGTGACAGTGGGTGCTCACTCCATGTCAGGAGCTCAGATCCCAGCTCCTGGGCACTGCAGGTTTGCAGAAATGGAGACTGAGGAGTGGGCACAAGCCAATGCAGAGAGGAAAACAGCCCTGGCTCAGGGAATTAACCTGTGTGCAGTGTCGGTACTGAGAACAAGGTGTAGGTTTTCAGTCAGTCCAACAGCCCTATGCTGCTACAGGGAAGTTTCCAGTGACACGGAGGATGTAGGAATGGGGAAGATTACGGGTTGTTACTGAGGTGACATTCTCTGCTGGTCCCGTTCAGAGGCATTTCTCCGATTTGCAGGTGCACAGGGTGGCTGTGGCTGCTGGTATCTGCACATGTCACAGCAGGTCACTGGGGCAGGTTTCCATGTGTGTTTTATTCTGCTACTCCCCTGTTTTCACCTTTCCCCACAGGTCACCCTGATGCTTCTGGACCAGAATAACCGGGAGCACATCATCGACGCCTTCCGCCCTGATGTGACGTCCTCGTCCTTCCAGCGCCCTGTCACAGAGATGAACATCGCCAGTGGCTGCCCCCTCTTCTGCCCCGTGTCCGTCATGGAAGCCAAGAACTCCTATGTGCGTGATGATGCCATCTTTATTAAAGCCATCGTTGATCTCACAGGCCTCTAACCCTCCTGACCTCAGAGCAGTGAGTGTGGAGCCAGCCCTGCCCAGGGCATCTCCTGCTTGTGCTGCACTTCAGGCGGGTCTCAGAGCAAAAGAAGGTGGCACAGAGAGGGGAAAAGCTCTTCCTGAAAAGGAACCTTTGCTCTGAGTGGAAACCAGGTGTCTGATGGGAGCCATCTTTCGTGAGGAGAGGGTTAGTGGACACTGGCAGGCTGTGGGATATGGAAAATTCCATGCAGGGACTTGGGTGTCTGAACTACTGCTGTCTGGACTCCAGTGGAAACCAGTGCAGCTCTTGCTCTACCAGTTTAGCCAACATCCATAGCTCTCTGTAGTAAAACAGCAGTTTGCCCTGCCTGAGCTCCACCTCCTTTGGATTTTGGCTCAGGTGTCTAGGATTTCCTTCTGAGATCTCCATGTTCCTGGAAGTTGTGTGCTGTAGGGTGCTATGGCTCTGCACTGCTGGTTGCTCCACGCCCTGGGAGACAAGGAGAGTGTGTGACAGCTGCAGTGCCAGCTGGGCAAGAGAGACACAGACTAGTTTGATGCTGTTGGTGTGTTAGGAGGGTGCTGAGCCCAGCTGCAGGGCAGGGGTGGCCTGAGTCCAGCCCTCACTGGGTGTGTAATGGGTGGTGTGTCCTGGAGTGTGGAATGGGGCAGGAGGTGCTGCTGCCCAGAAGGGACTGTGGGGCAGCACGAGGGGTGCCTGTAGGGAAGGAGAAGTGAATCTGCTGTGGAGATTGTCCCTCCTGTGCCAGGAGAGGAGGGTGACACAGAGCTGGTGTGCACCCTGAGAGCCCCAGGCCCTGCCCCGCTCTGCCCTGTGTGCCGAGCAGCACTGGGTGGGATGGGTGCTGTGCTGGGAGCTGTCTTTGCTCATAGGCAAAGGCACAGGATCTGAACTGGCTTCACTCCCAGGGTGGGACAGCTTCACCAGCCTTCCTAGGGCTCCTGCTGCTGTCGAGCTCCATGTCCATCTGCGTGGTGCACAACTGCTGTGTCTGGGCACTGCCACCTCAGGCTGTGCGATATGTACTGTCTGCCCATGCAGACATATTGACCATGGTGGCCTGCAGTCACCAGCAGCAGCTCTCCCTCACTGTTCCTCCCCATCCCTGAGCTCAGGAGTCGTGGGCCAGCTGGTTCCAGGTGACAGCAACCTGGAGCTCTTCCTCCACTCAGCCCTATGTTGAACCTGCAGCCACCTGGGTAGGATCTGGGGGCTGGAGAAGTGAAGTGTTCTGTCCCCTTTCTGTCTCTGGGCAGCACCTGTTCAGCAACCATGAGAAAGTCTCTCTTGGTGTTAGTGGGAAAGAACTGGCTGCCACATCTCTGCATAGTGCCTGCTGCAGCTTAGCTGTAGCTGTGGCCATGGGTAGCTCTGGATGGGCCCTGATCCTGGGTGGACTCAAAGCTTTGTTGCCTCCTTTGCCTGGGCTTCCCACACCTCTGTCAGTGGCTGAATGTGCCCCAAGAGATGTTTTGTTGGTGACAGGAACCAGCTGTGAACACTCTGCAATGATCAGGGGCCCTGGTTGGCTCCTGTGCTGCTCCTCAGGCAGCGGAGCTGGAGCATGGTCACCCTCCTCGATGGCTGCCAGGGACTGGCCCTTCACTGCCAGCAGTTCCTGCTAGGTGCCCAGCCTGGGTTGGATGGCTGCAGAGCCTGCTTGGCTTGTGATCTACTCACACCTTGGCTCTGGCACAGCCACCCTGAGGGATCCAGAGTACCATAAGGCTCTGCCCTGGCAGGGAACTCTGCAGGGTCTGGCTGTCCCCGCATGTGCTGGCACTTCCCTGACCTGCCCCTGGGGCTGTTTGGAATGTCCCTGCTGCTGCCCAGGAACTCAGGGTTCCTGCAGGCTGAGCTAGACCCTAGCCCAAGCTGAACCTCTTGCACCCGTGGCTGCTGTGCTGGCCAGGGGCTCTCCAGACAGGTGTTGGGGTGACCTGTGAGCCCCCTTTGGAATTGCTGCTTGGAACTTCTTACACCTGTGTGTGCAGGGCCTGGAGACAGACCCAGCTCTTGCTGTTGGGGAACAGAAGCAGGTTACAGCACAGTCTGAGGTAAGAGAGGGGTGACAGGACCCTTCCCTTTGTGCAAGTCCCGTTCAGCCTGTCCTAAGCCTGTCCCTTGACAGATCAAGCCCTGTGTCGCTGCTCTCACCCTGTTGCCTTATGAGGAAAATCCAGGCTAGCAGAGCCCTGCTCCCATCTACAGCAGCTCCCCAGGGATGCTTGGAAAAGCCTTCCTCTCCTGGAAGGGAGAGGAAGGTCAGCTCTGTTCATAGAGTCGCTGGGAATGAAGTGTTATGTAGGGAGGGAGCTTGTTCTGTGCTGCTCAGAATGTCAGCTCATGGGGTGCTGCCTGCAGTGGGATTGGGGGCTCTGGCAAGGTAGTGCCAGGAGGGACTGTGGAGACGCTGGCTCACTTGGGTGGGAGTCTGGGCTGCTTTCAGGGTGGGAGCTGGTCCTCCTGCCCCCCAGCACATGTTTGGAAGGTCGATGGGAGAGTCGGTGCTGCAGCAAAGCTCAGGCTGAGTTCTTCAGGCCACGGTGTTACTGCTGGAGGGGAAACATGGCCTGTCAGCCCCTCCCACCACGAGCTTTTTCCTCCCCACCCTTCTGGTGCTGCTGATGCTGTCCGGGCCTTTTTTGGCTCTTAGCAGCTATGGAGCTGGCAGCCGGAATTGTGCTTATGTGCTGCAGTCAAGGGCCCAGCCCTTTCCTGGGCACAGCTCTGCCAGCCTAGCGGCCACATGGACAAACACTGGACACAAGCCACCGCTGCATTTTTGTGGGGTTTTTCCCCCTTTTGACCACACAATCTCAGTCTGGCACTGTGAACTAGGTTTTGTTTTCCTTGAGGGTGTAGTTTGGTCAGAAGCACTAATAAAAATGTTTGAACAGCATTGTCTGTATGAGCCAGGGGATGCCTGGGCACAGCATGGGAGAGGATTGCCTGGGGGTGGGTGAGTTCCTGTGCTGGGGAATTATTTCTGTGCTGGGAACTCTCCCCTGCAGAGAGAGTCCCCTGCCTTTCTGCAGGAGGATTCCCAAACAAGGAGGGAAGGGGGAGCTATAATGGGAAGGGAAGGAGCTGGAGCCTGACTGTTGGAGCTCCACTGGGACAAAGGCCAGTAGGCGCCAGTGCAGCAGTGCTGGGCCAGTGATTCCAGTGGTTCTCCTGCTGCTAAGGCAAATCCAACACTCCTGTTCCTGGGTTGTAACAGCTCTGAGCTCTCCTAGGACAGGCTGCTGTTGGGAGCCCAGTGCCTGCAGGACACCTGTTCCTGCCCCTCTCAAGCTGCAGCACCAGCCCATGGACTAAACCCATGTGGGGGCAGCAGCCTGGTGGCCTCTACTCACTGTGTGTGGAAGAGACAAACACAAAGGATGACCACGGGACCGTGTCCCGTCTGGGAAGCCCCCAGACCCCCTTCACATCACAGCAGCTGCTGCACCAGGGAGATGCAAAGGGACAATGAGGGGATAGTGGCATTTGCAGGTCAGGAGGCTGCTCTTGCATAGGAATGTCAAACAGCACTGGAGGGCTCTCTGCTTACCTGTTTTGTGCCTGTTAGTGCTTGGAAAAATGTAAATCCAGGAGGGATCCAGCCCCTGGCCTGTCCTGGAACCTGCAGTGTTCAGCCCTGGCTGCCACGGACACTTGCTGCCCTTCGGCCAGCCCCTGTCTCTCTCCTGTTGCTCACAGCTCTCTACCTGCACTCCCCAGCCCAGGGCAGGTAACCACAGGCTGGGCAGCAGCTCCTGCAGTGCTCCAGCCCAATCCTGTGACCGTCCTGGCCCTCAGCTCTGCCTCAGCAGAGCAATACTCAGAAAATAACAAGCTCACATTGCAGAGATGCTTTAGCAGAGTATTTATTCAATGCCAGAGTGAAGAGCAAAACTCAGTACAAACAACACCTCAGTGTCTCACTCGCTGCTGCACCGAGCCACGGGTGGAGAGTTCACAGTTAGGGGGGAGGGAGAGGCTGTTCCTTCGCTGTTTGACTGCACAAAGCAGGATGTGGAGCCTGTGTGCACACACATGGAGGAATCCCTCATTTCATGACAGAAAACCTGAGTACGGGGGTTTTAGATTAAGCTGGGGCACAGCAGGACACAGGTGCCAACCCTCTTGCTGCAGAGGCTGCTAAAGCCATCAGTGCCATTGTGACAGGAACTGCCACCTCTGTCAGGTCTATCAGCAACCCCAGATTTGGAATGACACAGGCACCTGCCCCAGGGCTTCCAGGGGGGGGCCCAAAATGCATCCCCCTGTGGCTCCATCCCAGCCCTGCTTCCAGGAGGGACAGCAGCTCCTCGGAGCTCCATCTAGGCCAGGTCAAGATTAGGAGCTTAATTTTAGACTGACATTTGGGTACCTGCTACATGGAGAGAAGCTCAAGGGACAGACAGTGAACACCACTGAGTCTGTAATAACTCCAAGTGACTGTCCCCACTGCCTGTGGGATCCTGGAGGAGCTGAGCACCTCCATGGCAGGTCAGCCCCAGGGACAGGGAACTTATTCAGCTGTCACTGCAAGCAGGAGGGCTCCGTCCCCATCACCTACAGGTGAATGAATACCTGCAGCACCTGTGACTGCCTACACCTATTCACAGAGAACATACTAAGAGAACCTAAAGTGCCACAGTTGGGTAGCATCGGCAGGAGGTAAGTTGTCCTCATGGGTACCCCAGAAAGGGACAGCAGATCCCCCACAATAAATACGTTCCCGATCCATAGCTTATTGAAGTGCTACTCAGAGGAAGACAGGCAAAGCCAGCACCATGTGACCACCAGCCCTCCCCCCTCCCAAGTTTGATGATACCAATACACAGACCATGGGGCCAGTCGGACTCCCAGCCCTGGCCCTGCCGCCCCCTCACTGCCCCCAGTCCCTGCTGGCCTCTGGGCAGAGGTGCCATGGGCAGGAGGCACTTGACATTCCCCAGCAGCCAGACGAGTTGCCTGTGGAGTTTTGGGACAAACACACATGAATAAAATGCCAATATTAAGAGAGTACTGCAGTCAGGCAGCGCAGCTGCACCACGGCTCCTGCCAAGCACTCTGCAGCTGGTGGCTCTCAGTGGGGCCGGCCACGTCCCCAGCTCACACACACCTGCACTGGACGTGCCTCAGTGTCCCCTGAGCCCAGAGCTCGCCCAGAGAGCTATGCCCAAGTAGCAACGCTGGTGAGAAGCTGTGGTAGCCCACCCTGCAGTGACCAGCTCAGCTGCTGCCCGACAGACCCACAACAGGGCCCCAGCTCTTATGTCCTGTCTGAAGCCGATGCTTCAAGGAGGAGGGGATTCCCGCTGCCAGGGCCCCTCCTGGCTCAGCCATAGGATTTGTGTGCCTAGAGCTCATCTCTGTGCAGGGCTCAGGGCTCTGTGAGCTCAGACGGAGGTGCTGCAGTGAGGAAGCTGCAGGAGCAGATGTACCTGGGTTCAGCTTTTCTGGTTCATGAGCCAGGAGAAGAGCAGTTTCCTGGGCCGGGGGCTCCTGGCCTGCCGGATGCGCACGGCCCGTGGGGACCGCCACACCTTGATGGTGGTGTCATCACTGGCTGTCAGCAGCAGCTCCTGCTCCACTGGGCTGAATGCCACTGAGTTCACCACGTTGTCATGCTGCAGCTTAGCCAGGCAGATGTTGTAGTGCCGGTCCCAGATGTAGCCGTGTCGATCCTCTGCCCCACTAGGGTGGAGAGAGAGTACCAGTACCAGTACCATCCCAGTACCAGCCCAGCAGCCCCAACACCCTGCCCTTCCCACCCCTGTCCTTCTGCAGGGACGGGGCAGAGGGTACCCAAGCCCCTGTCTCCATGAACTTCATCCTGTGCAGGCAGCTCCCTCTAGGATCCAGGGCCCCTCAGCTCACCCCACAGCACCTGCAGCTCCATGAAGGGTATTTGCCACCTGCCACCAAACACATCAGTCCCCGATTTACCCTTTCCTCAGGGATTTACAGCAGGATTATTTAGAGTAGGACCAGGGCAGCCACCCTTTATCAGCACTTTCCAAGTCAGTCCCTCTGTTCTT